TTATCAAGTTTCTCAACAGTAAACTTTATAATACTCTATTATTTAAAAAAAATTATTTTCAGAAATGTTAATTTTTCAATTAAACTTATCATGAGGTTTGTCTTTCCATGAGATTCTAGTGGTGCCTCCACAAGCTCTCATTGGGTGAAGTTTGTTTTGCACAGCCAAGCCTTGATCAGAGACATTTTAAGTCATAATCACATAATCACACAAATTCTAAATTATGCGTAATAAGTTAGGGAAATCCAGTCAGCCATTATGGTTTAAACTTCATCTTGCTACAACGATTGAACTGCCATGGTTGCTGAGCTGTAGTTGGTAAAATTTACAAATTTCTATTTGATTAGCGATGAATAGATATCTTTCAGCCATTGAGTGTCTTATTAACATAAAAAGCTGTCATTTTGCACTCACTGAGATATTTGCTTTTACTGCAAAATCTCAAATCGGCAGTGTCTTGTCATTACAAGCACTGCGATCGATAGCATGATGTGGTTTCCTGTTGATCTCGTGTCATATTTCCACCAGAATGTTGCCGGAGAATCGGACTTTGGTACGTCATACCTGTACAGGCCTAAATCAGACATCTTTTGTGATGGCAAACCCCATGTTGTTAAAACCATCCATTGTGAAAGCTATCTACGCCAATTTTAGGTGCAATTTTGCTAAGTAGAGAGTAATGTGACTTTCCGATGTCTTCAGCCTGGGTGGAATGACTAGAGGAATACATACACCCATCTTCACTTCCTGGTAGGCGAATATCAGCTTTAATTAACAATAGTCCAGTGATGAGGACTCCTTTCTTCTGACGGTGTGCCTAGCCTTCTGAAATTGATTTCATTGCGAAATGGAGGCTTCTCTGTGCCGGAGAAATTGACGCTAAATAGATGGGGAGCATCTCGTTTCTAGCGTCTAAAAAGTGGACTGTGATGCCGCAGTGAACTCGAAGATGCCACTTGACGTGGGATTGTGTTTGGATCGGATTGCGATCCTGGCGAGGGATGCCGGCATTAGCGCAAATTACTTTCCATTTTCTATACGCGACCAGAGAAATGTCAACTTCGTCATAAACCACACAAGCAACCATAGTTAGGTTCTGATAGTTTTGTCCTCCGTGCTCAATTTTGAAATAAATATTTTGTTTTCCCAATAACTGACAGTTTAGTGTGGTCTATTTCATACACGATGTTCTCATTATGTTTGAGAAAATATGCTGGAATTAGAAATTTGATGTTGTTGAGGTTTGTTTGAAGACATCTTGTTTATTCTGTGTGGCAGTAACTAGGGTCGTAGTAACTATATGATTGGGGCTGTATTCATGAAGCTATTATCTTCCACTGGATCAATACGCAAGGTTTTGTGTCCTTTTCAATTACATTGTTTGTCCAAAGAGAGAACCCAAGGAATGTTAAATTCAACAGAGTATTAGGCTTGAAAAAAAAGGGAAATGTTTCTTGGGCATTGGCGCGTCACTTAAACTGTGCACGTCAGTTATTTTTATTGCATATATTGAAAAAGAACATGAAATTTCTCAGTCATATAGACCTATGAAAATCCGGGTTAGAATAGGTCTTCAGCAACCCATGCTTGTCATAAGCAGTGACAATGCTTTTTGTAAGAGACGACTGATGGGATCGGGTGGTAAGGCTCGCTGACTTGGTTGATGCATATCAGCGTATCCCAATTGCGTGGAACGATGCTCATGATATGAATCACTGATTGTCTGGTCCAGACTCACTCATCCACACTTAACCTACTGTGTTCCACAAATAGTCTGCTTGTTGTGGCCTTACTCCACTGCACATACCATGTTACCAGGTATTTGAATCCAGAGACAACCTAAATTTTTTATCTTTTGACATGAGCATGAACACCTTGACTTTTTTAAATTGGTGCCTATTGTTTCACTCATTGCAAGTGATGATGGTGTGAATAGGTGGATTCCATTCCCCACATGGGTACAGTGTGAACCCCATTTCTGTTTTTTTCCCACCCCGTAAAAACTGTCACTCACTTACTCACTCACTCACTCACTCACTCACTCAGTTTGAAGGGGGCCCATTCATCTAAGGTGCCACAATTCGATGTGCAGAGTTGCATCCCTTGGGCACACAAGAAACCTGTGATTGGGTGCGAATACCAGTTCGCCCCGATTATGTTTCTAGGTTTGAGCGCCATACCCGTGCTCGTTGGTTTCACCGAAGTGGTAAACATCTGAGACCTGCATCATTTCAGGTTTTAATTCCACATGAAGCTGAAGTGATATGTGTGGAATACAGTTGAAAGCAGTGTTAAACCCAACTCAGATATTGAAGATTGTGTAGGTCCAGAAACTTGCCTACCTGCCTGAATTTCCTTCAACATATGTTTTAGGAGATTTTACTCTGTGCCAGGTGAAGCCTAGCAGGAAGAAAGGAAGAAACTGTGAGCTACGACTGCTTCGTTTTGGCCCCTCACACATGATGTCATGCAACCCCCTAAGCACACAGATAAATGACATACTATATGTGTGCTACTTCTCTTGGGAAATTATTCAATAGCAAATTCAATTTTCATAATTGTTGATTACAGAGTAAACAGTTATCTTTGTATCATATACGCCTGCATCCTCCTCTGTTATGTCAATGTGCTGCAGTCAAGAGCAGGATAATTTAGCTGTTTACAGATATTTGTTAATAGTAATTACATTAGATAGTGTGGCATTTTTGTTTCAATGGCCAAAGATGTTTTGCTTATTTTACGTTTGTTCAACGTTTGTTCAACGTTTGTTCAACGTTTGTTCAACGTTTGTTTGTGCCCACTATGCCATGCTTGTCTTAAGAGACAGCATTGATGGTGACTATGTACCACCTGGGCCGAGCTTCACATTAGTATTGTAATGATCAGACTTGCTTGCTTTAACACAAGATAGCCCTAGCACAATAAACACAGCCCTACTGGCTTGTTGTATACACCCTGCTGCCACACCAAAGTTCAGCAGATTGATTCCTGAGTTTCTGGAGCTTTGGTTCTGCTCTACACTGAAGCACATGTAGCACATCTGGTGTCACCTTAGGCTTGTGACTTTGTTTGAAATTTGCCCGTGTTCACCCAGCAGTGAATGGGTACCTGGTAGGATGAGAATTTAGTGTGACCGTTCACCTGTTAGCACCTTACAGGCAGCTTGGGATTTATGCTTTCCGGGGAGCCGCGAATAAAATTGAATGCACACTGATCCATTGACCGGGGTAATTACGTTAGCGCGTTGAGTATGTTTATGGATATATTTGATGCTCTACAAAAATGCACGTTATTATTATTAATTTTTTAATATTATTATTACAAAATGTAGCATCCATTTGATTTCTACGGGGTGGGTTCATGATCACCAATACCACATCTAAGACCTGCAACACTTTGGGCTTTCCGCTTTTTAGCCTTGATATGCCTGAAGTACTGTGAAATGGCATTAAACCCAACTCACTCACTCACTTCATATCACAATGGCAATCTTTCAGCTGACGATACAGGTGTAAATGTTTTCTCATTTCCAGACCAAAACATTATGGACTTGTATTCACTGACTTGACTTTAAGACAAATACAAGGTCGAATATCTTTTGCCTGTTGGTTTTATGGTTTACATACTAGTTTTAAGTAAAATCTGTGTACATCTATTTGTTTTGCTGTCCTTTGTCGACATGTTTTATATAGTTTAAATTTATTAATTATCATTGTATACTGTGTTGGAGTCACTATTTTGTCTGAAATAATGCTGAAGTGACTTTAAATTTGAACTCACTCACTCACTCACTCACTCACTCTCTGATGCTGATGTCTATCTGTTGGTGAGTGCTAGACTGCATACATTATTCTCACCATGGTAACATATTTTGCAAGTTAATATGAAGAGCTCATAAAACGTACTTGCTTGCTGTCTGACATTTACCATGGTTTACAGTTCATGGCTAGAAGAATCTCGCGTGACGTCAAACAATTTCTATAGCTCTATCTTAATTTCTTGCAGACCTGTCGACAAGGGCATGCATATCTTAGTCTGCTGGTTTTGAAGTCTTAAACGTTAATCCTTTGTTATTGCCAAACGATTGTGATGATTTGTAACAATGTGCATACTAGTAGGATACACAAGGTTGCCGTACCTAGAATCGGGACAAAATCTTGGAGTTTCGATGCTTGTATTGTTGTTTGAAGATTATTTACATGATAGATAATAATTGTTTTATTCAAATGCAGAATATTCAAAATGCATTTAAAATTCAAAATATTCCACATACATTTAATATTCAACATATTCAATATACATTTATTATTCAAAATACTCCAACTTTATTTTATCTTTCGAGTGTAATCTATCCCCGAAGTATTAGATGTAAATATAGCATTGCTTCACTTTGCTTGGTGAAGAAGACACCCGAGCAGGTTAATTTACTGTATAATAATGCATGAGTCTCCCAGAATCCAGCGTCGTCGTATTCACTCCTAAAAATTCTTCCTGGACTGTGTGGAAGTCATTTAGCAGTGACTTATCATATGTCAATAGTGCATTATTAATGAAGCCTCAACTATGGCATTCGCATCTTCATCTTCATGACATAGAGCAATAAGAATCGGCGGTCGGCTTGCGTACCTTCCATATTCCTTTGTCAGCGCCTACCATGATAAACACCGCCTTCGTTACTGTTGCTGTAACTGTTCGTACCTCTGCCACTTTGTGTACCTTGGTTTTCATAATTGATGTTTTGTGTGGCCTTAATGTGAAATTGAAATTTATATTGGCTGTGTTAGAAGATGTCATACAAGTTACCATGGTTGGAGTGTTAGCTTGTTTGATAAATATTCATTAACAGGTATAAGTTGGTGCATTCGTGTCATCATTTTACAGATTTCCTCAACACAACATCAAGTGCAAGAGATAAATGCTGCAACATCTTGCTAGCAATACGCAGTTAAAACAGGATGGTTTCTTGAGAATGGAGTTTATATATCGGTGTTTGGTTTCAGATCTGCGACTGTACAAAGAGACAAGCGGCAAGAAGGGCACACGCAAGGACTGGGAGACGGTTTGTGTGACTCTCGCAGACTGGAAGCTCTTCCTCAGGCATTTCCGCAAAACCACCAACCCTCAGGAAATACTACTATATCACTACCTGAAGGAGGAGTTATTCCCCCTTGTGGAAGTTTCTCTTGAGGTACAGTACATAGATCAAAGATCAGTTCTAATTTGTAATTTATATTATAATGACGTTTACTGTCATATTTTTAGCAAATATCATCCTTTTATTTGGCAAGTTAAAATTAAACTTATTCTTGAACTCAACTCAACTCACTCACTGGATTATTCAGTTTTATAAGCCCTATGTTCTAAAGTACAATTGATTCTACAACAGATTAGGGGCGGTGGGTTAGCCTAGCAATTCAAGCGTTCGCTCATCACACCGAAAACCCAGGCTTGATTCCCCACATGGGTACAATGTGTGAAGTCTATCCCATGTGTCCCCTGCCAGATATTGCTGGAATATTGCTAAAAGCTGTGTAAAACCATGCTCACTACAACAAAATATATTGTCACATGAATATATCGAATTTACATTTTCATGTATCATTTACACAATAACTAAATTATTGCTTAAAGATGTGTGGAATTACACTTGCTCACAATATTTATACATCTACTATTCTTTTCCAGAACCGAATCTTAAACGAATCTAGTTGTGAAAATTTGGAGTTGGATCCAGATTTCTTGATGAAACGTGAGCGGGAAGAAGTGAACGCAATGTTGAAAGACTCTGACAGCATGAACCATGACGTGAATGGCTCTGCAATCAAGAGTGAGAACGGAATGGACATTAAGGAAGAGAACGCAGAAGATTCAGCTCAGAAAAATCTGGAAAACTGCGGTTCGGCTCCCAATTCGAACAAAATGGCTAACGGAGACATGGGAAAAGGTGTGGAAGATTTATACAATTTTCTCCCTATGTCCATCTGTGCTGGGTGTAAGTTCTGACTCAATGTGCTTAAATACTGGTGCCAAGACTAAATGTGCTTGAATACTGGCGCCAAGATTAAATGTGTTTGAATACTTGTGCCAAGACACACTATGCTTGAATACTAGCACCAAGACACAATGTGCTTGAATACTGGCGCCAAGACGAAATGTACTTAAATACTGGCACCAAGACACAATGTGCTTGAATACTGGCACTAAGACACAATGTACTTGAATACTGGCACTAAGACACAATGTAATTGAATACTGGCACCAAGTCACAATATGCTTGAATACTGGCGCCAAGACACAATGTACTTGAATACTGGCACCAAGACACAATATGCTGGAATACTGGCGTCAAGACGAAATGTACTTAAATACTGGAACCAAGACACAATGTACTTGAATACTGGTACTAAGACACAATGTACTTGAATACTGGCACTAAGACACAATGTACTTGAATTCTGGCGCCAAGGCACAATATGCTTGAATGCTGGCACCAAGACACAATGTACTATAATTCTGGCGCCAAGACACAATATGCTTGAATACTGGCGTCAAGACACAATGTACTATAATTCTGGCGCCAAGACACAATGTACTATAATTCTGGCGCCGAGATACAATATGCTTTAATACTGGCATCAAGACACAATATGCTTGAATACTGGCATTAAGACACAATGTACTTAAATACTGGCACCAAGACACAATATGCTTGAATACTTGTGACAAGGCCTCCAGTAACTTGTTACTGTGTAGGAGTGAATGGGATGGTCACAATGATGTTGAGTGTAGATGGACGGCAACCACAGAAGACATGGCTGTACTCACTGTTTTGTCTGTATCTTCACCATGGGTTGGTCTGGTCCTGGGTGACTCTCATGCTGTGATGTATCTGACAGTGTTGGAGAACTAAATTCCCTCCCTGAAAAGTATAAATAAGCCTGTCAGGAATATACGTAGGATTCCAAACCATGTGCCGTTCCTTTGCAGATAAATTGTGGTGGGATCATCATGTTGAGCTAAATTGGAATTTTTGTTTTGAAATAGAGGTATTTTAACATTGCATTAAATACAATAGTGCCTTTTCTTTTTATGGGGCCGCCCGGACAGCGGAAGGTCCGGGGTTCGATCCTCGGCCGCGTCATACCTAAAGACGTTAAAAGATGGTACTTATTGTTACCCTGTCTGGCGCTCGGCATTAAAGGGCTTAAACAAGTACTTGTCGTCTCAGCGTCAGTATACTGTGTCTGAGTGGGGTATTCATGTTAAACTGCGGCATGGTATCTCAGTGAGCTAGCACTATAAATCGGCATCAGTCCGGACAAGTACAAGCACACACAAGCACGCACACGCACACACACACACACGTGCATGCACTATATAAATGCAATAATCTTGGACGTGACGTTAAACCCAATTTTACCTCACCTCACCTTTTTATGGGGCGGTGGGGTAGCCTAGTGGTTAAAGCATTTGCTTGTCGAGCCAAAGACCCTGGTTCGATTCCCCATTTGGGAACATCGAGTGAATCTCATTTCTTGTGTCCCCCACTGTTATGTTACTAAAAGCCTCGTAAAACTATACTCACTCTTCTCTTTATTGGTCCTGTTATCAGTGAATATAACCTAAAAAGACATAGGTTTGTTGTAACTTTATTTTAACATGAGTTGGGAATTTGTACTGATATTTGCAAAAGAGTTTGGGCTGAATATCAGCCTCTGAGCAGGTTTTGATAAATCCCTGACAAGATGACAAGAACAATGGAAGAGTTAACTCCCTTGATCATCCTTGTGGAAGACATTCTCTTCAAGTCCTGATCATCTTACATGTTTTCTGCATTTGTCATGTACATGGATTATGTTGACGTCAATCAGTTCGCCTGTGGATTGTTTTCACAGATTCACAAATAAAGCATGAAGACAGCCCAACAAACAAAACACAGCCGGTGAGCACGGGTCCGAATAAGAAAGGTAAGAAAGGTACTATCAGACTTCATTATTTTACTTTTTCTTTCCTATATATACTCACCTCATGACAATGCAGCCTGTGGGGTCATAAAAAGCACCTCAATGGATCAGGTGGTCAGGCTCAGTGACTTGGTTGAGTGCGCATTATTGCACCCCGACAGCTTGGATCATTGCTCACAATATCGATCACTGGATTGTCTGATCCAGACTAGATTATTAAGAGGCCGTCGTCATACAGATGGAATATTGCATGTTGCGTTAAAGAACAGACACACAAAGAATCTGATATCTTGATATTTTGGCAGTGTAGGCTGAATTGAAATCGGGGGTCAAAGTCGTAACCAAAAAGCTAAATGTGAAGGTTCTGGGGATCTGAGATACACAAACTACATCATCGGGAATTTTATTTGACAAGTTAGTCTTTAAAATACCATCTTGAATTCTACTAATTGTGTTAACTTAAGTACATTTTGGTAATTATACTTAACCCTCCTTTCTTCCTTCTCTCTCTCTCTCCCCCCCCCCCCAAAAAAAAATAAATAAATAAATAAAAAGACAAACAAACAACAAACACTTGGTCTTGCCTTAAGTGCCATAAGCTGGGGAAATACATTTTTTTTAAAATTATTATAAATATTCTAATAACATCTTTTGTTGTGTGTCCTCCACAGCCAAGATAGAGAAAGGGAATACGCCAACTAATGATGGGCCTCACAAGTCTCCCGGGTCCCAGCTTCCGCCACCGATGCCTCCTGGTGGGCAGACGAAGGCGCAGCAGATCCAGATGTCGATGGAGCCGCCGTTCATGCAGCAGCAGAGCCAGATCTTCGTTTTCTCCACCAATATGGCCAACAAGGCAGCTGAGTCTGTGGTCCAGGGGCAGTACAAGAGCATGCTAGACTTCCACCTGGACCAGGCCAACACAAAGAAGTTCCTTCAGGTAAGGAGGTGTTGGAATCTAAGGGGATGGGTGACATGGAATAGGAGGTGTTAGAATCTAAGGGGATGGGTGACATGGAATAGGAGGTGTTGGAGTCTAAGGGGATGGGCGACATGGAATAGGTGGTGTTGGAATCTAAGGGGATTGGTGACATGGAATAGGAGGTGTTAGAATCTAAGGGGATGGGTGACATGGAATAGGAGGTGTTAGAATCTAAGGGGATGGGTGACATGGAATAGGAGGTGTTGGAAAATTGGGGGATGGGTGACACGGAATAGGTGGTGTTGGAAAATTGGGGGATGGGTGACACGGAATAGGTGGTGTTGGAATCTTACTGGATAGGTGACACAGATTAGGAGGTGTTGGAATATTGGGGGATGGGTGTCACGGAATAGGTAGTGTTGGAATCTTAGGGGATGGGTGTCACGGAATAGGTAGTGTTGGAATCTTAGGGGATGGGTGACACGGAAGGTGTTGGAATTTAAGGGGATGGGTGACACGGAATAGGAGGTGTATGTACTAAGGGGATGAGTGACATACATCCGTTTTCTTGGAATCAAATCCACTACAAGGGAAGTAACTCTTTGTCAGTGATCAATGATTCCAAGGTAATTGTCAGGAAATCTTTAAGATTATTTTATCTTCAGACCTCAAAGATTTTATATATATATATATAAAATATATTTCAGTCATTATATATTTAAGCTTGTTTCATATGTCATGTTGTTAAGATCCCGGTTAGAATAGGTCTTCAGCAACCCATGCTTGTTGTAAAAGCCGACTATGCTTGTTGTAAGAGGCGACTAGCGGGATCCGGTGGTCAGGCTCACCTGACTTGGTTGATGCATGTCATCGTACCTCATTTGTGTAGATCCGTGCTCATGATGTCAATCACTGGATTGTCTGGTCCAGACTTGATTATTTACAGACCGCCGCCATATAGCTGGAATATTGCAGAGTGCAGCGTTAAACAACAACAAATAAACAAAACAAATCATATCTCAAGTGCCTAAACTGTTTTTTTTGCATTTGTTCAAGAAGCACCCCTTGAAGCCAAGTCAGTTTGGCCGAGGCTCTGTGATGCCCATGGGCAACATGCGGAACCCCAACCCCAACATGATGAAGGCACAGGGCATGGGAGGATTCGGCCCCAATCCTGCCTCCAGCATTGAACAGTGGGTGCAGCAGCAAAACGCAAACCTCAAGGAACAGGGCATGGGGATGCCAATGAACAGTGTGAACGGGCCGCCTTTCCCAACAAATAACCCACGAATGATGGGCTGGCAACCCAGCCAAGGAGGGATGGGCCCCAACTATCCCATGTTCTCCGAATTCGATGAATTCAATGCAGTTAACCACATGAACCTTTTGCAAAACAAAGTGCCAGACGAAAGCTTAACGCCACAACAGCTGCAACGACGAGAAGAACATTTGGCAAGTTTGCGTAAAATTCAGCAGATGTTGTTCCCTGATCAGCCTCGAGGTCCCGGGGGGCCTCAGCAGCATCAGCAGTTCCCGCCCGGTCCGGGGCCAGGACCGGGGCCGGGGATGATGCAGGAAGGGATGGGGATGCAGGGTGGCATGTTCCAGCAGAGCATGATGTCGCCGCACGGGATGATGTCGTCACATCAGGGCATGATGTCCCCCAACCAGGGAATGATGGGCTCTCAGCATGGAATGATGACGTCTCAACAACAGTTCATGATGTCGCAAGGAATGTCTCAGTTCGGGCCAGGTGGGCCCCCACCTCAGAACAATTTAAGCCCTGCTCAAAGAGAGTGGCTGCGATTGCAGCAAGAATTTTATAATGAAAAGCGTCGTATAACAATGAATCCAAACATTGATCATAATGGCCCACCCCCACCATATTACAGTTCGATTGCTCATAAACGACCAGGAGCTATGGGGATGAGTGCATCTACCTCGCCTAATATGAATGGACCTCAAATGCATGGTATGGGCACTGAACAGGAGATGGGTATGTTTCCGAGGCCACGGAGGCCATCACATCCACAGATGGATCCCGGCCCAATGATGGGGGGCCCCGGATTCAGCCCACCAATGCCCCCTCAAGGGGCAGGTTTTGACTCTGGCATGATGCCTGGTAGAGGTGGGCCAGGTATGATTCCACCATCAGTGTCTCAGATGAAAAATTCTCAGATTTCATTACATCGAGCGGGCAATCCTGAACAATTTCAGCCGGAATTGGCACCGTCTGGTCCACCAGGGCCTCAGAAAAATAACAAACCTCCGCCCAGTTATGCCCAAGCTCAAAAACGAAAAAGAGACGATCATCTCGAGGATCTATATAAAAACTTACAACCCACACCTTCACCTCAGCAAATAAATTATCTGAATCAGTTTGAAGGGCAGGAATTGACTATTACAAAACAGTTGAACTCTGCATATCGTGATTCAGGCATACCCAATGAATCGCAGCCCCCACACTTACCAAATCACTTCCAACAAAATCAAGTGCATTCGCCTATGCATGGACCAGGCTCAAACAAAGGACCCATGTCAAACTCTAGCCAGAACTCTAGTGCTGGGCCATTATCAAGCCCAGGGCCTATATCAGGTCCGTCCCCCCTGTCTGGCCCCTCTCCCATGTCTGGTGCTAACATGAGATTATCACATTATGATCCGCCATCCAACAACAGCATATCTAGTGCTCCAACCACTCCTACAGCTAAATCGTCCATGTCGAATATCACATCAGCAAGTCTTGCCAATTTGGCAAAAGGCGTGGAACATTTGTCAAACCAAATGCAACAAAATATGATGCAAGGTGGTCCGTTTCACAGTATTCAGGTACAAGGACAAATGAACAATGGCAATGGTGGTAATGCCTCTCAGGGGGGACCTCCTCAGCAGCAGCAGCAGCAACAACAACAACAGCAGCAACAACAACAGCAACTACCCCTTCCTCCACATGGTCCTCCTCATCAACAACATCCGCAACATCCTCAACATCCTCAACAACATCCGCATCAACATCCACCACATCTGCATCCTCAAGGACAACCTCAACCTCCCCATCCCATTCAACAGCACCAGCAGCATTCAACTAACACTTCCAGTATTGCGCAAACAACAACTACTCCAAGTGTGAACAATACATATGTCAATGCAACCATGTCCATTCAGCAATTGAACATTCAGAGTGTGAACGCGCCCAACAATCCTGGTGTGGGCAATTATAACCCTTCCATGCAGGTTCAGCAGATGAACAGTGAAACGTCTCAGATGAACGTTCCCGGGGGACCGCAGGGTCCCGGAGGGCCCATGCAACCTCACTGTTCCCCTATGTCCTCAGGGCCGTCCATGTCACAGTCACAGATGATGACGACTAGCCAGTGTCCTCCATCAATGGGGGTTAAGGCACCTCATTTCTCAAGTCCCAATCATCCCTCCGCGGGTGGAGGTCCCAGCAATCCAATGATGGGTCCTGGGGGCCCAGGGAGAATGAGCCCATCGAATTTCCCCGCCAGCTCCGTGGGCAATGCAAATGTCCAGATCCAACCCAAAGCACCCAATACTATCCAATATCTACCAGCAAATCCACCAGCTTCACAACCCAACATGGGTGGTCAGAAGAGACCTGATTTGGAATTTATGCAAAACTTCTCACCACCACTCACAAACATAGAAGCGAAAGCTCCAACATCGACTTTGCAATACTTTCCAAACAATTCTCCAACACACAGTGGCCGACCAGGAATTCCTTCCCCTTTCTCACACCAACAGCACATGGCCATGCAGCAATCAATGATGATGCGAGAACCAAATCACGAGTTCCCTGGCATGCCTGGGTCTCGACCAGGACCTGGCATGCACCATCCATCAGCAGGGATGTCAGGCATGGACGGGCCCCAAGGTCCAATGGGGCCGATGGGCCCAATGGGTCCCGGTGGGAACATGCCGCCAGAGGCCATGATGAGCATGGGGGGACCGGGAATGGGTCCCGGAGGGCCGGGGCCGATGCCTGGAATGAACCCCGGACCTCAGGGTCCCATGGGACCTATGTCGCCTATGGATCCACGCAGTCACATGGGCAATGGTCCGAATCCTGCCTACATGCCCAACGGACAATCGATGATGAGCCAGAGTATGATGCAAAGTCATATGCAGATGCAGGGGCCCGGACCCGGACCCGGACCTGGTGGAATGCCTAACATGCCTATGCAGGGTCCGGGGCCTGGCATGCCGCGACAGTCCAATCAACCCATGGGAATGCCAGGTCAGGGGAATCCATCCATGCCAGGTGGTCCCGGATGCCCCGGGGGACCAGGAGGTCCTGGCGGGCCGGGCTATAACGCACAATATCAGCAGTTTCAGCAACAGTTATATTCTCAGAGCAGACAGCGACAGATGTCTCCAATGGGAGCGATGATGGGGAGTCCTGGACAACCGTATATGGGCATGATGCCAAATATGCATGGGCCTACATGATAAGTGAGTGTTGTGAGAATGTGTGGGTCAACGTGTGGCAGGGCTGGGCTGGATACCTCACCAGTGCTATACATGTAGATCAATGGAGGTGTTTGGAGGTGTCGTTATCCATGTGATCTCATGAGTGTCCCATTATAGCCTGTCTACTTAGCAGTGAAGCCAAGCTTATGTTTGTGTGTGTTCACCTTAAAACTCAAAAGATACAGTGATTGTGTGTGATGGACTAAGTTTTGCTCAACTATTGTGCGACTTCAAACGTCTTGCTTCTCGAGACAAGTATTACACATATTTGCCAATATGTGCTGGATTTTACCAGGACCTGTGTGGGATACCTACGGAGGAAGATAGTGGGGAAGAGTTATCTCTCCTTGTTTTGTTTGACCGACTCCCAAGCGTGTGATATTCCTACACCAATGAAATCTTTGACAGTGCAATGATGATGCCCTTCATAGTTTGTAGGAGTATGTAACCTGGCCATATTTTGCTGAATCGCCCCATAATGGAACAATTATGAGCTTGAGATAATATTTTTGTAAAACATAGTGAAATTTGTTGTTGACAGCAATTTGACAAGATGGCTGTGACTTGTGTTTTTGCGTTCTACCATGCATATCTGCTTAATGTTTGACATACCTCAATGCCAATGTCCGCCATTTTGTTTTCTGTCTGTATGCTAACATGCTGAATGTGGATTCAGAATAATAACGAACTCTAGCCTATCTCAGGGCCAACATAAACCATTCGCTTTAATGGATTTGTATCAAAGAATTAGGATTTAGATTGTACCAAATCTTGCTGGATCTCAAAGTGCAATGTGATTATTTTTGCATTATTATTTTTTCCAGGAGGTATTGGAATTGCATAATCGTATGTTTATTGGAACTAACACTATTAACATATCATGGATGGAAAGTAATGTACAAACAGTTCAATAATATCAGAGTAATTTAGATGTTTAGTTTTGTCAAACATGTATTGTATGTCATGACATCAACAAATCAAATCTTATCAAGAATAAACAGCTGGGGTTTATTTCTAGGAATACTCTTGTCAAAGAAAACATGTTGAAATGTGAAGTACTCCTTATTTAATTTGCATTTTAATGAGCATGAAATTCTTTAAAAGAAGTACTGGTTTTGAAATATTTTTAAGCAAGAATTAAACTGCTTAGCTTTGTGTGTGCTGATATTAAGTAAGACCTGAAAAACTTTTTGATTATTTATTTTTCAAGTATGTTTTGTTTCTGTTGGGGGTTGGTAGGTCTAAAACAAATCAGCTGGAGTGGTAGGATGTGCCTTCCATTTCTTTCATTTGCAATATTCTGGTAAATGGGTAATAAATTTAATATCTTTTTTCTTTGGCATTTGAAACTGCATCCTAGACATGTTTCAGCCAGTGACTTTGTGTTCTTACTGCATGCAGGTGTTATTGACAGGAGGGTCACTAGATTCAGCTTGGATGGTGATAGACAAGGACTTGTGTGTATCTTGCAATATCAGAACTATCCTGTTTTTCGTTTTCGATGTTGGATCATTTATGTACTTGCTATTGACTCATTCACTTGAACCACCTCTCAAAATGATTTGTCTCAAACCTGCTTATCTCAAAGCCAGATTGTCTCGAACTCACTTATCTCAAAACCAGTGTACCGGTATTCCAAATCTTTTGTGTCCCTGTTAAACCAACGGCATCACTTGTTTTTTCGTTGGTTTATCTGCAAATGTTGAGTGTCTCATATTGTCCTCTGGTCCTGTCCTTTATGAGATACAGCCACCCACCACTCTCCATGCAATCTCATGTATCAGATATTTCACCATTTTCATGGTTAGGCCACACTTTTTTAATTTTGTGTTTCACGGATTTATTCAAGCTTTTCCACACAAGGCCGGTCAAAATAAAAATAACATAAATATGGATGTCTATCATTTAATTATTTATTTGTCATTCTGCCGTTGAATTAAAACTGCAGTCTTTTTTAATCACTGACAGTGGGCATGGAATTTATGTATAACAATTTTTATTGTATGAGGGGGTCTTTATTACTAGGAGACATAATGAAAATAAATATTTTTGTGAATAATTTATCTCTTGACCGGCTACTTCTTGGAAGGGGCAGAGGGCCCATGAAATGGAAAAATAAAAAAATGTGTGGCCTTGGAAAAAATAGGGAAATATTCACAAGTTTACAATGAAGATAATTATTTTAGTATTTTCCCAGATCATATTTGAATGCCGGTGAAGATATATTTTCAAAGATGTAAATTGGTCGATTTGGTTTTCATCTTTTACAAATGGTCTCTTCTTTCATAGCAGAACAAGCATTTTAGATTGAGAATATTAGCTTACCATACCTTGAGAAATGTTACAATTCCAGATACGAAGTGTAACACTTGGATACAATTCTGTGTTTTGAATGGGATCATGGCCCTAACAATCCTCTTTTAGGACTCGTATGATAAACTTGATGGGTTAATTTTTAAATTAATTTCTTGTTTTTTAGACCAGCCATCTCTGCACAGGCTTTGGGAAACACAAATTTCAAACATACACCTTATGTCACTTTTCAAAACCATTGGCTGTGTTCAGAGGAGGTAATCAATATAAGCACTTCCGGTAGAACATCTTTCAATACTGAGTGTCAACCAAATTCTCCATAGTTATACATACCAACATGTGTTCACGATATTTTAGTCGTTTTACCACATAATTACAGACTACTATAAACGTTGCACTTCCAATTGCAACATCGCTATACAAGTGCAATAATCTTAAATGCGACATTAAACCCAATTTTGCCTCACCAACACTAACCTGTAGAAGTTTTAAAGATTTTTCCTTCATATCAGCTGTTTTCTAAAAAAATTGAACATTTTCTGGGTTGGGTGCTTGTCCTGATCCACAAATGTTTTAGAGTGCTGGGACAGTGAAGTCTAGTTGTGATGGTCATATCATTACAAATTTAACTTGTCGATACGGGACAAGCCCTGTTAAACAAAGTCATCTTGGGGCTATGATTATCAATATTGATATGCTTCATCACGGACTTATGATAGTGGTAGCACCAAGATCACTATCTTCACCAGGCCCTTGTCTTCAAGTATTCTGATTTGCGCGACACTGTTGACGCTAACTGGTGAATACAGACATTGCTTGTGTTATGACAATCGTTGTCTCAATATTGACTTTGTGTCGGGGCAGATTTTGAAGTTGGTATTAGTCGTTATAAATGAAGTAATTACAAGAGGTGTACCTGAACTATTCTGCTCAAAAGATGTTAAGGAACACCTGATTCCTTCATTTTACTATAGTTAGTCTGTCATGGCAGATTAACTGCAGTAATATGAAAGAATCGGGGCTGTTTAACTTTTTTCAAGTAGTATATATAGGGAAGGGTTATCATGATAGCAGCTAAAGCATCATAAGGTTAATTTCGTGGCTACCAATATTTCCGCTTAAGTGGCTAGATTATATAGGTAATTTAACTAATATTGAAATAGAGAGAAAAATGGGGGGGTAAGAAGAATGTGATGTGTCAGCACTTTCCGTCTTGGAGACATACAGTACTTGCATCTAGTTGACTTTAATTCTAGCAGTAGTGTTGTGGTCAACCTTCCTACGTCACTAAGCAGCTGTTCAATCCCAGCATAACAGAAAGCAGTTACAGTCTCTCGTATATGTGACAATGTTTGACAAATCCATTTGTGCCCTGTTACGCCTGGTGAGACCTTGAAAGGAGAGATCATGTTTTGTATTATAATGGTATAATATTTGGTGCAATATAAATCAAATTGACTTCAACCAATAGGTTAATGTTTAATAGTTGTTTGGTCATTGGGGTAATCAACTCTCGTGCTTTTTATATGTACCACTCAAAAGAAGTTAAGGACCCCATTATTCTTTTATATTACTGTAGTTGGTTTGTCATGATATGACAGATTACCTATAGTAATATGAAAGAATAATGTGGCCCTTAACTTCTTTTGAGTAGTATATGAATACTCTACCACATTGAAAAGGGATTTCATTAAGTTTATTGATGAAGTACAAGCGTTTATTAAGTACTAAAACATATGTGTATAATTTCTAAAATATGAGTTTTAAGAATCATCTTCTTTTTTTTCATCAAGTTCAGCAGATTGGAGTTAGTTTTACTTACAGAATATGTCATCAAGATCTCCTACTCACGATATGGAGAATTATGGATAACAACTTCTATATTATACAAACACAGTGTTTCAGGGCTATTTCTTCCCCCTTCATCGTTATGTATGTATAATAAAGTAGTTGTTATCTTGTATAATAAAAAGTTTACCCATAATACTTCATGTCGTGACTGCTTCCAACTTGTTTTTGTTTTAAACATTATCTTGACATAAATGGTCATTTGGATTGGGCAAAAGTTATCCATTTTCGGTGTCCCTCTCCAACTTCTACATGCCTGTGAAGACTCAATCACTTTTACTGTTCTAACAACTAAATACACCCATTAATTACGGTAGAGTCTAGCAACACAAGTTTACTCTTCTTCCCAATGGCATCTCATAGTAACATGACATGTGATATTGTCTTGAGTTATCTGTCATGAAGTGCCAAGTTGTTCCACTTAGACCTAGTGTGCTATGGACATTTGCATGACCTTGTTAGAAATCTGGCCCTTGGTAAAATACTCATTCAGACTTATCTTGACAAATTGGTATTTTGTCTGTTGAAGTGAAACCAAATATCACCCAAAGGACAACGAAAAGATTGTTTTGATTAATGTGTGTTCACATCATGTTTTTATTTGGGATTATGTTTTGAGGAACTACCTTCTTTCTTTTTTTGTAATCTGATGGTTCTCTACCAATGGCCAAGTAGCTATTTATGCATGCTGGATTCAGTGTTGACCTTGAACTATATACTGCTGCTTACAATGGGTAAAACTACTTTTCTTTGGTGATCTTTCATGAGAAACATGGTTCAAACATTTTGGATAAATTTACTTTATCTTCTAAATCATATTTCATAGAAACTATTTTAGAAATATTTATAATTTAATTTGTAATATTTAAGAATTATTCATTGTCATTAGAAATATTTTGATGAAAATCTCCTTTTAACTTCATCCTGCTCAAATCTGGATAGATGTAGAGTTATCCAATCTGTTGAATGGCCCGTTTCTGCTCGTCATAATGGAATATTGTTAAATAACCAAATATTACTCTTGTACAAATGACCTTGTGGTCTTCATCATACCTGAGCTAGGAGTCAGTGTTGACTAATGGTCCCCATCTGTTGTGTTCAAAGGGGCGAAATTGTTAATCATGTACTACGTATAAAATATATATATATACATATTACATCCATATATTATATGTACATAGAGTTGTGTACAGTTGTAAAAACAAGCTTAGATAGTTGATGACAGAATCTCTTGAGAATGTTGCCGGAGATTACTTGTAGCTGTGCTAAATAGTTACCAACCATAGATCCCTATGTTGTTCCCACATTGAAAATGGCTGATGATGGTAGTCAGTGTCTGCTCTGTTCTTGTTTTAACAGCTGGTTCTAACGATTCTATTTTTGATAAATTTTCTATATTGTCGACCGCTGTCTCCCATGCAGGGAGATGATGATGATGATGTTATGATGATGCCTGTACAGAACTTTTATAAAATGAATGCCTTACTAATCGGGTGTTTTCGTATGTCAACTGGCGGATAGTCAGGGGACTGACGTCTGCAGAACGTAGAAATTCTGACTAGTAAAATTGTTTAAAATTGTTTTGTCCTTGTGTTGTTATTGGACCATTGTTTGTTTGTTTTATGCTGCTCTCAGCAATATTCCATATATATGAGGGCAGTCTGTAAATAATCAGATCTGGGCCTGACAATCCAGTGATTCACATGAGCATCAATCCACTATATTGGGAGACGATGACATGCATCAACCACCCGATCACCGATCCCGTTATTATGAATCTCTATGACCAGCAAGAGTTGCTGAAGACTGTTTCTAACCTGGATCTACATTGGATCATTGAGGACTGAAGATCAACAACTACAGTATTGAAGATGATGAGGTCAGGATATGTACACACAAAGGTGGAGGACACTAAGTTTCAGTGGGTAGCTATGCTGCTGATTTACCATGAATAGGAATCAGATAAGGGGCCGATCATTTTATATCCTGGAGGGGGTCCTGGGATTTTGTATCCAGATTAGATTTTTTTTAGCTTCAGCTGCAAAACCAGATATTACTTTTTTTTAAATTCAACTTTGAGCCTGAATTCTTTTTAAAGAAAAACACCTGGCAACAATGAAACTGCAGTCAATTCTTTTCTTCTTTTTTTTAAAGGTCTGGAACATAGTTATATATATTTTTTCAAGATTTTTCAGGGACAATATTTCGTTTTTTGGATAAAATATGGTCTGTCCCTAAATCAATGTTATTTAATTTATGGTAAAAAAAACCCAGCTACAACAACCCAACTCACAAACCAAACTTTATGCTTGTTACAAAATGGATATACCTTAACTTTCCTATTATATTCAAACTACATATACACAAGGCGGTGGGGTAGCCAATTGGTTAAAGTGTCCTTCCCAAGGCTGGGTTTGATTCCTCACATGACAACAATGTGTGAAACCCATTCTGTGTTCCCTGTGATATTGCTGGAATATTGGTAAAAGCCTGAATACCATACTCCCTCACAACATATACACAGACAGTTCCCACCAGGCAGTCCCTTAAGTAAAGGGGGAGTTGCCTCTGAGCAGTACTGTAGCAATGATGCAGGGAGGAAATAGTATATTGTGTAGCTGTCAGGATCAGATATAGAGGGAAACATCCTTGAAGGACCTTGATTGCAGGAGTCTCCACTTTATTGTAACTGTATGATGGTGAAACACACCTGTACTCTGGAAACTGAAAGGTACACCTGGACATGGAATCAAATGTCTATATTTAAAGCAGTTTTCTTCCAAACTCCATGTAACACTTATTTCTGATGCTCATGGTAGCCTTGATATGGTCTTGGGGTAGAGGGTTTGCCCAAAGAGCGGAAGGTCGGGGGTTGGATCCCTGACCCACGTTGAAAGATGGTACTTGTTACCCTGCTTGGTGCTCCATTAAAACGCACGCACACTTATCTTGAACGCCGTCTTAATATTGCTAAAAGCGGCGTAAAACCATACTCGCTCACGCACTCACTCTGTCCGGAGAGCGAGATTCCAGTGATTCATAACAACATGTATTAAAAAAACAAGTTTCCAGGGACCCGTTCCACAAAACGCTTTAGCGCTAAGACGGTCGGAATACTTTAACATAACCTTACGATAGTCGCAGCGCTGTAGCCTATAAGATCACTGTGCAGCGGGCCCAGATATTTGTATGGATTTGAACCACACCATTAGACGAGGACGAAAAGGGGATGTTTTAAATGTATTTTGGAAATGGGGACTGCTTCCAGTCAAGGGAGGACTTTTGGGAGGGTCCATCTTATATCTCCAGCCCACTCGGTGCAATAGGACCCAGAAGATGTCAGCGTGGGACCAGATTATGTCGCCAGATAGACCAAATTCAAAAAAAGTATTGAGGACAAATCAAATTTTGTTGTAACATTCCGTTCATGTGTTTATATGGGCGATCGGGTAGCCCAGTGGTTAAAGCGTTCGCTCGTCACGCCGAAGACCTGGGTTCGATTCCCAACATGGGTACAATGCGTGAATCCCATTTCTGGTGTCCCCCGCCGTGATATTGCTGGAATATTGCTAAAAGCGGCATAAAACCATACTCGCTAGCGAACTCACTCTTGTGTTTATAGGCTACCAGGAATCCAAGTATATTTCGAACTTTCTATTAAAAAGAGGTTGAAGATGTGGGACTGTGTTTGGCTCAGTTGCATGGCTGTCCTAGCAAGTTTAACTAAAGCTTACGACAGTCGTATCTCTACGAAGGCTATATGATGAACGGGGCCCAGACCTATTGACTTATGGTCACCGTAAGTGCTGGACAAGGGGCATCTCAAATGATCTTTTGCCACGCTATTGTTAGACGGATTGGATTGACCAAATCGATCCCTTACTTTATATTGGCCTCAGAGAATGTCCTTTTTCTTGACACAAAAACCGCTAGGGAACGTCAAAATATGGGCATGGATAGCTGATGAAGATTACGACAGGAAGCGTGGGGTGACTGCTCCACTCTACAGTCAATACACGAAGCTTTTCTATATGCTGTTCTGTGAAAACGAAATTTCATCAAACACAACAAAAGAAAACCGGCTGCTTTTAAAAAAATTTACTGATAAGTCACAAACTGTTTTTTAGAAGTAGCAGTAAAGACAGGATATTTTACGGTTGAATAAAGAAGTTGTCATCTTGTCTTTACTGCATGGATGCAGGTCACGCAAACCACAATGAAATTTGAAATGAATGAACGAGAACGCTCAATATGATTGCGGTCTGTAAATAATTAATTCTGGGCCAGACAATCCAGTGATCGATATCATGAGCATCGATCCACACAATTGGGATACGATGACATGTATCAACCAAGTGAGCGAGCCTGACCACCCGATCGCGTTAGTCGCCTCTTTCGACAAGCACAGTCGCCTTTTACGGCAAGCATGGGTTGCTGAAGACCTATTCTACCCCGAATCTTCACGGGTCGTCTAACCATGTAAAACTGCCGCACTCACACAGGCGCTGGTATAAAACACGTCTAACAGCAACAGCCTTGAATGCGACGTCAAACCCTATTTCACCACTATACCATCACGACTGCAAACATGGCGTCGTTCTGTCAACAATTATTCAACATCTGCAACTCATCTGGGCTCAACAGCTGTGGCCACGTTGACATGTGGTTGTAAACAATGTAGCAATATATTTCAAAATTCAAATTGCGAACATTAGTTCTGATTCAGGTCAAAGGAATCAGGTGCTTTCGATGTGTGTGGGATTATGTAGACAAACATGGCTGTAAATAATTTAACTGCTTGGCTGGTATTCGAGTGAGTGAGTGAGTGAGTGGGTGGGTGGGTGAGTGAGGTTTTACGCTGCTTTTAGCAATATTCCAGCAATATCACGGCGGGGGACTCCAGAAATAGGCTTCACGCGTTGTACCCATACCGGGAATCGAACCAGGGTCTTCGGCGTTACGAACGAACGCTTTAACCACTAGGCTACCAGAAATTGGCGAGTAAATAAGAAAACAACTTTATGGATAACAACTTCTGGTTTATTGCATTTAACAACGTTTCGATGGAGATTCTTACTTAGTTTTCAAGCTGTCCTGATTACAGTGTAAGAATATACATCGAAACGTTGCTTTATGCAATAAACAGAAGTTGTTATCAATAAAGTTGTACGTTTTCTTATTTAATTGATTTGGCACTACAGTAAACTACGGTTATAACGAACTCAAAGGGACTACTAATTTTAGTTCGTTATAACCGTAATTCGTTATAAGCATATATACAGCATAACTACAGCAAATAGTCGGGACTAAAAAGTGAGTTCGTTATATCCGTCAGTTCGTTATAAGCGTGTTCGTTATAACCGTAGTTTACTGTATATGATTAATGGGACAGTTCAGTCAAGCACTATATCCATATGCTTTAACTGAAGTTACTTAATTTATAACTTAAACATCGACTATTGTAAGAATGGCATTACATATGATATAATATTATTAAGCTCACGCACTATTTTGTTCTTGCTAATGTTTGATATCTATTATACGAAAACACACGGGGATAATAATCACACCACGACGTTTATTTCAAGGTGGTGAGGTGAAATGGGGTTTAACGTCGCGTCCAAGATTATTGCACATATATGACGACGTGCATGCACGTGTGTGGCTGCTTGTACTGAGCCTACTGAGATACCATGCCGCAGTTGAACATGAATACCTCACCCAAACACAGTATACTGACACCGAGACGACCAGTACTTGTTTTAATCCCCCTAATGCCGAGCGCAAAACAAGGTAACAATAAGTACAATCTTTTAACCGCTTTAGGTATTTAGAAATTGGGTTTAACGTCGCGTCCAAGATTATGGCACTTATATAGCGACGTGCATGCACGTGTGTGTGTGTGTGTCTGCTTGTACTAGTCCGGACTGGTGCCGATTTATAGTGCTAGATACCATGCCGCAATTAAACATGAATACCCCACTCAGAAACAGTATACTGACTGCAAGCCGGCCAGTCCTTGTTAGCCCCTTAATGCCGAACGCCAGACAGGGTAACAAGTACCATCGTTTTTGTGGTCTGACGCGGCAGGGGATCAAACCCCGGACCTCCCGCTCTCCGCGCAGACGCTCTACCACTAGACCACGGGCCATATTAAGAGTGAGTGTGTTTAGTGGAGTGTGAAGCTGAAGATAGGCAAACTGGTTACGTAGTGCAAGCTGTGACTATTCTGCATGTGGCAGAGGTACAAGACTGGTCGGGCTCCCACTCTCCTACCCAGAGTTCCATGCGGCCAGCATAGTACCTCTGCCACAGGACCGCGCCGTTGCCGATTCGTCACATCTTACACAGTCCATTCAATATATGTTTTTCATCTGTTTCATTTTTTTACGACTCTACACATTTAGATATGTCATAGAATGGTTAACTTTCATCGAGAAAATATCCTAAAACGTGAGAAACTATTTTCATTTGCGTAGTTGTAGTCGCCATCCATATAATTATGCAAAAGAATATAAAAAACACACCGAAAGGCTTGCAGATGAGGCCAGTTTGTTCTGAATTCAGAATAAGCGCGTTTGTTTACAAACAAGAGAAAAGTCCGGTCACGTGACATGCAAATTAGCCCCCGTGGCAGTGGTGTTTTGCTGAGTCACCACTACGCCGGAGTGTGCTGGGTGTAAAGCTGGCAATGCGTATGACGTCATAGACACGCGACGTCACAATTGTCATTCGTCGGTCATACTCGTCTCGAAGTTACAGGCGAGGGAGGTGCGGCGCCGTTCATACCGTCACCATGCCGTAAAAAAGGTAGGTGAAATGATTTTGTTGATCAGCACATTTAAATTCTTCACAGAAACAATACAGACATGTTCTGATTGCGTACCATCGTGTCCCGATGGCGAGGATTACGCTTTTCGGTTCAATGACTGGTATTCGTGCATGGTCTGAATAACCGCCTCACCTCTGGTGGTAATCAGATATAAATCAACGTCATCAGAAGCTCAACTTACGTACCACGCCCCCAAAGTTCACATTAATCCATTTTGGCATCAATCGAGTTTCTTTCCAATTTCAACTTTACTGGATGCAACTTCTGTTTCAATTGAATGCCATTGCCTTGGGTGTCACCACGAGCGCAGGTATGGTGCTGACAAATCTAGAAACAATCGGCGCGAACCGGGATTCGAACCCACGATCATGGGTTTCTGGCGAGCCCAATGGACACAACTCTGCCCAGCGGATTGCGGAGCCTGAGACGTCTGGCCCACCCCTGCCCCCACAACTGATGTGACGTTAACGAGGGTGTCTGTCCTACATGTATTTCGAACAGATATGCGAGCTACACATAAACCCACAAACGATTAGACATTTATTTGGGACAGCATACAAGCATAGTGATAAACATCCCGCCGTAAAATACGGAAGCCTTTTAGGGCCATTTATTTGTTGTTGTTTTTTCAATTAAAAATTGAAATTTCAAGATGCTAAGTTGAATCTTAGCATCTTGAAATTTCAAGATAATGATTTTAAGATACTAAGTTGAAATTTCAAGATACTAGCTTGAAATTTCAAGATAATAACTTGAAATTTCAACTTAGTATCTTGAAAATTCAAGATAGTATCGAAAAAAAACAAAAAAAACAAATGGCCCTAAAAGGCTTCCGTAGTATATAGATATCAGCATCATTATCATGGTGAAAAAGAAATGTTTAGAGGACAGCATCAAAATTTGATAATTAACCTCACAGTATTCTTCAGAAAGTTAATAATACCTTCTCAAGCGAACCCGGATATTTTATTGATATGTCCTGAGTATCAAAGGTATTGCGTAATGGTGAAATCTTTTGTTTTGGACATTACGTGATGTAATAGAGTGAGTGAGTGAGTTTGGTTTAACGCCGCTTTTAACAGTATTCCGATATATCACGGCGTGTCAGCTTAATGTGGGAGGAAAGCCCGAAGTGATGCAGGTCTCAGACGTTTAACACGTCGGCGAAACCCACGAAAACGGGTATGGTGCTGACAAACCTGGAAACATGATCGGGGCGAACCGGGATTCGAACCCACAATCATAGGTTTCTGGCGTGCCCAAGGGACGCAACTCTTCACAGCGAATTGCGGCGCCTTAGACGACTTGGCCACCCGTGCCCCCTGATGTCATAGAGGTATATCCACACAAAAATTTAAGCAAATTGTTTCACTCTGACAATTCAGGACAATAGGCAGGTGTCTGTGATCTTTGTAAGATGTACAAACTTGAGGACCGTGCAGTAAAGCTGGATCTGGAACGTTATTTGTGTGAAGGTGATGATAGGTTGTAAGATGTATCATGTCGTTCTGTAAATAAACGTACCTATAGGCAAGAGGAACCAGTGACTGAAATCTTTAGCATCAATCTAAGTCACATTGTTACCACACAACCTTCTGACGATCGTTTCATGCATGTTTGTTGTATTTGTGTTCGCATCAATGTGAATCCTCTTTCAATGACGTCATCAGATACTACATCATCGACTGCGGCGGACTCACCCACAGTAGAGACACCATGAAACCACCGGCTGGGGAGAGGCCCACAGGTACCAGCTTATCTTCTTTATTTACTTTGTGTCCACCATCAGAACCAATCATCTGCACTCTACAAATGCCAGGGGCGGTCGGGTAGCCTAGTGGTTAAAGCGTTCGCTCGTCACGCCGAAGCACCGGTTTCGATTCCCGACATGGGTACAATGTGTGAAGCCCATTTCTGGTGTCCCTCGCCGTGAGATTGCTGAAATATTGCTAAAAGCGGCGTAAAACCATACTCACTCACTCACTACAAATGCCGTGCATGATGTACTGGTGACGGATCAATTCTGCAAATTCGGAGGCTGGCGTATAGCGGTGTAATCAGATCGTGCCAACATGTCACTCTAGAATAACTGAATGGTGATCACGTGAAAAAAATAGTATACCGGAGTGATCGATTTTCTTTGCAAGTAGTAGTAATTTGACATTGCTGCATTGACGATTTGACAGTCCAAAACATAACCATTTATTACATGGTCACGTTAAGTTGGATCACCTCCGTGGTACCGTGCTCGGAGAGCGGAAGGTCGGTGGTTCGATCCCCGGCCGCGTCAAACCAAAAGGCCTTAAAAAGATGGTACTTGTTGTTAAACTGCCTGGCGCTCGGCGTTAAGGGGATAACTTGTCGGCTCGTAGGCAGTATACTGTGCCTGGATGGGATATCGATGTTTAACTGCGGCATGGTATGTCACACGCACGCACGCACGCACGCACGCACGCACACACGCACGCACGCTAGATGCACGACGCTAGATAGGTGAAATAATCCTGAACGCTACATTAAACACCATTCATCTCACCCAATATGAGTTTGAATACGCTGGGAAACATTATTAAAACTTGTAACCTTATTTAACACACAGATCACATCCAGATCCTGGGCTCCGTGTCGGACAAGGACTCAAGAGCTAGCAGTTATCAACATGAGAGACGCCCGTTGAATGAGTATGAAGGAACCGTCCCAAGCTTCTTCAAGGACAGGAAAGGTCAATCACAGTTGGGAACCCTTGGTGATTCAAAACTCTGCCTAAAACTGCAGCTGAAATCAGTCAGAAGCGAGGCTGCATCCCGATGGAAAAAACACCTTGCGAGGGTTGATGAAGATTCTGATGATAGTCCATTTGCCTGTGCTGCTGCTGCTGCGGAAAGCGGTGAGCAAAGAGGAAACAGACTTGGGGAGGGTCGGGGAGTTGCACAGTTTGAGGACACAGGGCTCGTGAAAGGGGCCATCAAAGATGGTCAGGACATCCAAGTGGATGAATACAAACTACAAGCTAATCATTTTCTGATTTTCGATCTCTTAAATGTTCCTCTGAAAGATCTAAAGAAAGGTCGTCGGAACCGAAATGCTAAACAAAGCCAGGTAGGTAAGCTACGTCATGATCGAATGGGACATGGGAAGGATATAAAACACTGGCTTGATCGGTGTCAGCGTCAGTCTGACCATAGTGAGCAGCACCATGAAGAGCCGGATCTTCACCAGGGACATCCAAAGTGTGTCACGGTCAGAATGTTTAAGGAAAAACATGATCGACATGGTAAGAAGCCTGCCCCAAATCATCGGAGACACTCAAGCCGAAACACCACGAAACAAGTTTGTCTTGCAAACCACGAAGAACATGACACGGTTTGCGAAAAACGCCAGCATCAAAATCAAGGTCACTCGCAAACTCGGGATAATGGAGGACCTGAAATGAAGACCAGGACAAAGCAGACTCAAGACCACCATCAGGACAAATGTATCGAGAACCAGGATTCGGAAAGAGGTCAGAGTCAAGGTCAGGATCGAGGTCAAGGTCAGGGTCAAGAACGCCATTCACTACTTGTGTCACAAGACCTTGCTTTGCATCCACTGAGAAGGACGAAAGCCTACCTGACCCTTCTATCGCTCTCAAACATCTCTTTACACGAGTCCGAGCTGGCTGATATATCATCCAGTGAGTCTGACGAGGATTCGGTAAGGTACAAAGAACCAACAGCGACCAAACTCTCGTCACAAGAGACACAGCATGCTGTCGCAAGAAACGGTTGCGAGGTGCCTCGGGCAGAGTTCATCTCCGCGGACACAGGTCACGGCCATTCCCAGGTGTGTTCTCGTACATCCGGGTTAGTACGTCACGGTGCCACAGATGATAGACAGGAAGTCGAACCACAGCAGCAAGACTCTTCAGATGTCTCTGGGGAAAGTTCACTGTTTCAAAGATCTACACCTGAAAACAGCTTTACCGGAAAGAGCATCAATGGATATGATTTTGGGAAGATCTTTTCTGGCGGTGCGTCTTCTGTCATCTTTAAAGTTACAAAGGGAGGCAACACATATGCTGCTAAAGTTTTCAAACGAATTCATCCCTACGAGGAAAGGCTTCTCAACATCTCTAAGCGTGAATACAAGATTATGAAGAAGTTGAACCATCCACACATTGTTAAAGTTTACGATTATTTTGTGTTCCGCCAACATGGAGTTATCGTCATGGAATACGTAGAAACCTCAGAACTGTGGACATTCTTCGACAAATCAAATTGGGCAATGTCCCTACCGATCCTTAAGAAAATTCTGTGGGGCATTCTCAGCGCCTTGAGACACATCCACAAACATCGTATCTCCCACATGGATATCAAGACCAATAACATGCTCGTCAACAGCAAAGGGTTTGCCAAGATAACAGACTTTGGAGGAGCGGTGAAATTCAACAGATTCTTCTCAAAGCGCCACGTGGTGAACTTCTTCACGCCCGACTTCGCCCCTCCTGAGAAGCAATGGCAGCGTGAGAGTGGGGAGTTGTGTGTGGTTCACTACAAGCGTTACGACATGTGGAGTGTCGGGGTGATGTTGTATCACTTGTATACTGGGAGGCTCCCCTACACGCTGCCAGAGGGGAGACAGTACCTCCCTGCTAAGCTGTTCACGGGTGTGGTTGACCTGCCGTCGGGGGTGAAGGAGGATGCAGAGGTTCTGTCGCTGGTCAGACAGTGTATGCAAGTGGATCCGCTGGATAGAATGACGGCCAAAGAGGCCTTGGCACATCCGTTTTTTGATTCCGTGCGACACAAAGGAGTCAAGAAATGAGCGCGTGTGTGTGCGCGCGTGTGTTTATAGCTGAGATGAAGAAATACCCATTTTTCGAGGAACGTTTATATAATGCCTCGTTTGAAGTGAACTAGTGTACACAAATTCACTTCTAATGAACATTTTAAATTCTATGCCAATGAATCATACACAGCTTTACATTGTACACACATATCATAGTGTGTTTTTTTACAAATTGTTGATTGTTTTTTTCCTTTTATTCTTTGGGGGTATTACAAATGCCCAATGTCTGTAGTGAAACCTGATACCTTCATGTCGTATTTGTTTTGTTGTCTCACTGATATATTATAATGATTTTGTTATGCTTGTGAATGAAGAATATAAAATATTGTGTGGTAAGACAATGTACAATAAAACTACTTTGTGTTATTTTTCAAACACAACATGTTTTGCTGAATCAATCAACTGAGAGATATGTAATTAAATGCTGTAGTTGGCAATATTTCGGCCGTATCATGGAAATGTATAAATAATGTCATCTAAACTATAGTGGTTGACAGCACGAGCAACATCCCGGCCGACGGGGGACGATGACACACAATCAACCAGGTCAAAAATTAAACCACGATTTTAGTTTTCCGGCCAAGATCAACATGCACAACTGCGAACTCGTGTACACTGGAACACCAAGACGTGAGTGAGTGAGTGAGCGAACACCAAGACGTGAGTGAGTGAGTGAGTGAGCGAACACCAAGACGTGAGTGAGTGAGTGAACACCAAGACGTGAGTGAGTGAGTGAACACCAAGACGAGAGTGAGTGAGTGAGTGAACACCAAGACGTGAGTGAGTGAGTGAGTGAACACCAAGACGTGAGTGAGTGAGTGAACACCAAGACGTGAGTGAGTGAGTGAACACCAAGACGTGAGTGAGTGAGTGAACACCAAGACGTGAGTGAGTGAACACCAAGACGTGAGAGAACACCAAGACGTGAGTGAGTGAGTGAGTGAGTGAACACCAAGACGTGAGTGAGTGAGTGAACACCAAGACGTGAGTGAGTGAGTGAGTGAACACCAAGACGTGAGTGAGTGAGTGAGTGAGTGAGTGAGTGAGTGAGTGAGTGAGTGAGTGGGTGGGTGAACACCAAGACGTGAGTGAGTGAGTGAGTGAGTGGGTGAGTGAGTGAGTGAGTGAGGGAGTGAGTGAGTGAGTGAGTGAACACCAAGACGTGAGTGAGTGAGTGAGTGAACACCAAGACGTGAGTGAGTGAGTGAGTGAGTGAGTGGGTGAGCATGATCACTCGGGGTATATGGGGTTTTATGTGTCCCGCATAAGGTTTTATACCACAAGCTCTCGTGATCCTGCTACAACTTATAATATCTGACCAAAACATGTAGACGTTATTCCACATAACATATATTTGCTTCATGTCAAATGGTGTAATGGACAAAAAGAACAAGTACACAAGGCTGTCTTGGTGGCCATGAATTTTATGGATGAGAATTCCGAGAGCAGTGACACCATCACTTGGATCATTTATGCAAAGTATCTGCTTGTTTAAAGGAGTTGCCAAATATGCAACAGTTTGCGACTTCCAGTCAGGGAGCTAACAAAAAAGCAGCATTTCTTTCTTGCAAAAGGAAAATCATAAACTTGACCTTTTCTTATGACAACTGTGCCAACCGGGCCCCTTTCAACACAATAAATTGGTGATGATTACGTGGAAACCATCTTAACATCAATACAACTTATAAGTTCAAGGTCACTTCAACACCTCATCAAGTGGAGTGTGAGTGAGTGAGTGAGTGAGTGAGTGAGTCAGCCAACAATGGGCTCAATTAATAAATACAACACTAAATACAGCATCAAATGACTGTAGCGCTCGTAAAATGTCTACGTTGAAAAGAAAGGGTTCCTTTCCTTGGTTGTTCTTGAGCGCGCGCACGCACGCACGCGCACACACACACACATAAACAGAGAGGATGTGCAGCATGACGTTCAATGAGTTTTGCGATGTGACAGTTTCTGGAAGGCTGGCTGTACCTCTTTAAGAGTGCGTTTTGAGGCCCATTACGACCTGACTCGCGTCTTATCTACTCGCCAAGTACCGATGGGATACATACTAGTATCTCAAAGCACCCAATTCCGCAAGCTTCTTACACAAATCACCAGATTCAAGAACGGAGACAGTCCTGTTTCAAGACATTGGACACTGACAAAACTATGGACATACGTGAGTACACAATATATTCTAAGGCCTGTTACTCATTGCCGCGGTCACTTCGTTGACCCATTGTATTGTATGTTGTGATTGTAAATTTAAAACTGTGTGTTTGAAGGTCATTTGTTCATTATTATCTTGCGTGGTCATTTGCTTATTTCACAATTTCTTTCTGTACATAACAATTAGCCTTTGCTAGATTTGGAAATCACCTGGTAACAAAGATAATAGCACCTAGATCAGTGGTAGGACCCCATTGGTGAAAAGTAAGTTATCCTTAAGTCCACTTCGTATCAAAGTGTCAGCTTCTTGCGTGAGGAAAGCCTAACGTGACACAGGTCTTTCATAGTGAGTTGTGTTTAACGCTGCTTTTAACAGTATTCCAGTTATATCACAGCGTGTCAGCTTAATTTTGGAGGAAAGCCCGAAGTGATGCAGGTCTCAGACGTTTACCACTTCGGTGAAACCCACGAGCACGGGTATGGTACTGACAAACCTAGAAACATAATCGGGGCGAACCGGGATTCGAACCCACAATCAGAGGTTTCTGGCGTGCCCAAGGGACGCAACTCTGCACAGCGAATCGCGGCGCCTTAGACGACTGGGCCACCCGTGGCCCCTGGTCCAGATTTGATTAGTTACATGCTGCCATCATATAGCTGGAATATTGCCAGTGCAGCCTTTAACAAAAAACAAGTGCTTGGATGGGTGACAGCATTCGGCAGCTTGGTTCCTGAGAGTTTCAAGGGCTTGGATCCTGTCCCACACAGGTAGCACATGTGATGTCTCCTCCAGCAAGTGACTTTGTCGAAATATGCCTCAGTAAATGGGTACCCGGGAGGATGTGATGGTAAAAAATATGACTGTTAACATTCTTGCGCCTCAAAGGCAGCTTTTCGTATCCTTCCCAGGGGGATAGGAATGAAAATTGAGTGCAACCTGATCCATTGATCTGCATAATATTGTTGATAATACTTATTGATAGATTTGATGCTCTACAAATAATAATGATGATAATAATAATAGAAAAAGGAGAAAAGAAAAGAAAAAAGAAAATGATAACAATTCAAACACACTCGTTGAACACATTTATTCATTGTGTACATAGTCATTTATTCATAAGTCAACATGATGTAATGACAGTTCGAAGAAAAGTCCTGAAAGAATAAAGGTTCTATTTCTCTGTATCAACAAGACAGAGCCCTGAGCATGCTGAGGGGTCTCCATATTTATCTTGTATCAAAATTAACAACTTTCAAAACTTTTGTTAAATTTCATAATTAATTCAGATTTGAAGTTAAGTCCTATAATGGCCACTATTGCCAAACAATGGTAAATATAGTATTGAATGGTCAGTCTATGCAGAGACAATATGTAAACAGTGATAGATCATATAGGAAAGAAATATATTAAAGGACATAGAAATATCATAGAAATTTAATTCTTACAGAATATCTACCTGAGACGGGATCATATCATATTATGATTTTATTAGAATAAGTATTAAAAAAAACAAAATATATTTGTTTCTATCCTACAACAAAACTGATGCCACTTAATTTCTTCTTACAAAAGGTATAGCGAATGAAACTTAAGGTTTAGTATTTAGGCCCTCTGTTACATATTGTGAGAGAAAAATTAATTTTTTGTTTAAATTTAATTAAACAATGAGCCCAAAGTTATAGGCTCTAGGTTTAAAGAAATATTACCAACGTTGCAAGTTACTAGACCAAAACTTTTTCAAACAATTTTCCTCAAAACTTCTTTCCTTTCTGCTTTTGTCCTACACTTAAACTGTCAGTAAGAATTGCAAATGTAATATACAGTGGCATGTAGAGATAGATTAGTTTTAGTCTTGCAGCAAACACCCCCAAAATGCCAATTATTTTAAGAAAAAATCCATTTTCGAAAATGGAGCAAGTGGATTCTCAATCTACCGGTAATAGTTTGGGTCTGAGTGTACATTTCATCTATGTTGCTTAAACATGCCCTTGCAATTGTCATGCGTTAGATTCAGGAACAAGACCTGTTGCCAAGGATAGAAACTAATAAAGCAGAACCTGAAATTACATAATTCTTTTCTCAAAAAAGAAAAGAAGATATAGTCCTATTGAAAACCTAGAAGTAAATCATCTTGTTTAATATCCCCGTATATAATCCTGACAACCTGTTTATCAAGGAATCTTAACATATATCTTTGTTGTTAAAAAACAGAAAGTTGCTATCTTGGTTCTAGTTACAAGCAGTTATTGACCATATACGGACGGACAATACTCCACAGAAATCAAGCTCATAAAGCAAGTGATATATGTAGGAAAAGTTCTCCATAAAATGTTCATCTACTGAAGCACTCATTCTACTCTACTCAGCATTATCTACCACATTCACACAATGCCCATACCTTGCAGCAGGAAAAGTAAACCTCAAAGAACAGAAAACACCCCAAAAAGTAACAAGAAAACTCAACAAAGCTGAACGACTAAAAAATAATTAAACAATTCTGAATTTGTTCTTCTATTATCACATGTTAAGACTGTTCTGTAATCATAACTGATTATCAGTGGTTCAATGTGGGGAATAAATAATAGTTGACTAGATGGCTGTGATTGGTCATCTTGGAAATAGGTTGGCCAATCACAGAGTGTTATTAAAATATTAATACATATAATATACTACACAAAGCGATTTCTGAGTGACTTATAAATGATCTATGCACAATCACTGATATTTACTACTAAAATGAGGTTAAAGAACACACGATTCTTTCTTTTATATGACCATAGTTAATCAGTCATGAAAAGTCATATGAAAGAATCGAGTCCTTAACTTTCTTTGAGTAGTATAGTTTCAGGGTACCTGGGTCTTCACTGTTGATGGCAAGAGATTGTTTTTAAACATCCATATCAGCCTATAGAAACAACACTAAGACACTATAATCTCACGCTTTGCTTGTTTGTTGTTTAGTGCCACAATCAGCATTATTCCAGCAATATGATGGCAGCCTGTAAATAATCGAGTCTGGACTAGACAATCCAGTGGTTGATATTATGAACAACGATCTACGCCTTCGTGGTTCGATGAAACGCCATTAACCATATCTGACCACTTGATCCATTAAGTCGGCTCTTAAAACAAGCATAGAATGCTGGAGACCAATTCTAACTCACAATCCCCATGGGGTAATCTCATGCTACATGGTGTATGAGTATTCATAATACCCTACAAATGAAAGAGTAATGGAACAAACCTCCAACAGAATTCTCATCTTTATCAGTTGTTCATCACACTGTTAGTGAGTGAGTGAGTTGGGTTAAACGCCTCTTTTAACAGTATTCCAGTTATATCATAGCGTGTCAGCTTAATGTGGGAGGAAAGCCCGAAGTGATGCAGGTCTCAGACGTTTACCACTTCAGTGAAACCCACGAGCACGGGTATGGTGCTGACAAATCTAGAAACATAATCAGGGTGAACCGGGATTCGAACCCAAAATCATAGGTTTCTGGCGAGCCCAAGAGACGCAACTCTGCACAGCGAATCGCGGCACCTTAGACGACTGTGCCACCCGTGTCCCCCATCACACTGTTAACAAGTGAGTGAGTGAGTGACTATAGTACGACACTGCTTTGAACAGTATTCCAGTCACAGCATGTCATGTTAATGTGGGAGGAAAGCCTGAAGGGATGCAGGTCTCAGACGTTTACCACTTCGGTGAAACCCACGAGCACGGGTATGGTGCTGACAAACCTAGAAACATAATCGGGGCGAACCAGGATTTAAACCCACAATCAAAGGTTTCCGGCCTTACCACTTTGGTGACACCCACACGGGTATGGAGCTGGTAACCCTAGAAACACAATCGGGGCGAACCGGGATTCAAACCCACAATCAAAGGTTTCCGGCCTGCACAAGGGACACAACTGCACAGCGAATTGCAGCGGCTTAGAGGACTAGGCCACCCATGTCCCCCACTGTTAACAGTTGTAACGATCTCCACAGAAATTCTTCATTCTATACATTTTGTCTCAGTTTCTCCCTCAATCATTACAATCCTAAATCATCACAGATTATCTGCCCTTTTTTCCTTAGTCTCGTACATCCATTCAGCTCAACTCAATCCCATTGTCATTGCAAGTCCTCTAAGTCAGCACTGAAAACACCCAATTAACTTAATTCATGTAAATAATCACAGGATGCATAAATTCATAGATATAAAAATATCATTATGTTCAGTTGAACTATTCCTACATGCCAGTATCCCTGCTGTGACCTTGGGTAGGGGACCTGCTTCAACCTTTGTCGTTATCACACAGCCTCCCATCTTGTTCACTGAATGATTTTTTATTTGTTTTTCCCCTGCCACTGTTAAGTTAAGAAAAAAACAACCTTTATCTGGCAAAAAAAGCTTTCTTGTTTCTATAATATATACCAGGAATGAAATTAAGCACCACCTTCTGTATAAATCTACATTAAAATAGCCACTTCTAAACATCATATTCTGTATTTATTACCTGACGAAATACATTTGTTTTTGTTTACAAAATGACATACTCGTATTGAACTATAACATTTACTATCCAATTGCATTTGTTCCAATGGCAAGAATACTGCTGTGCAGCATCAGGTAACAAACACTTACATTTATATGCAAATTGGTGGCGTGTGGGTGCTTCTGGTAGGGCAGGAAATGCTTACCCTTTTCGCAAAAACCTGGTGTCATAACTGATTTTTAGTGATCCATTCATACAATTTTTACTTCTATTTTGTCCCTGATGAGATCTATTTCGTCGGATAAAGACTGATTATTCTGTGGCGTTGATGTTTTATACAATATTGTAACAATTCCATGGCAATATGGATGGTACCGGTAGGGCAGGAAATGCTTACCCTTTTCGCAAACACCTGGTGTCATAACTGATTTTTAGTGATCCATTCATAAAATTTTCACTTCTATTTTGTCCCTGATGAGATCTATTTCGGTGGATAAAGACTGATTATTCTGTGGCGTTGATGTTTTATACAATATTGTAACAATTCCATGGCAATATGGGTGGTACCGGTAGGGCAGGAAATGCTTACCATTTTCGCGAACACCTGGTGTCATAACTGATTTTTAGTGATCCATTCATAAAATTTTCACTTCTATTTTGTCCCTGATGAGATCTATTTCGGTGGATAAAGACTGATTATTCCTCGCGTTGATGTTTTATACAATATTGTAACAATTCCATGGCAATATGGGTGGTACCGGTAGGGCAGGAAATGCTTACCATTTTCACGAACACCTGGTGTCATAACTGATTTTTAGTGATCCATTCATAAAATTTTCACTTCTATTTTGTCCCTGATGAGATCTATTTCGGTGGATAAAGACTGATTATTCCTCGCGTTGATGTTTTATACAATATTGTAGCAATTCCATGGCAATATGGGTGCTACTGGTAGGGCAGGAAATGCTAACCATTTTCGCAAACACCTGGTGTCATAACTGATTTTTAGTGACCTATTCATACAATTTTCACTTCTAATATAGCACCATGGCTTTTAATAAAAATTGATATGGTCAGGCGTGAACTGTCAAATCTTGAAAGTGTAACAGATGTGGTTGTCCACTGCTACTGTTAAGTCACATAAGGCACAGGAGACCTCATGACAAGCTAGGCGGACTACTGTATGTACCAGACACTATAGGACAGCTCGGAACATACAATGCTCCATCTTCCCGAGGCAAAGGAGTTAACTGACTATAAAAGTCCAGTTTCCACCCTTGCCAAACTAGGCTGGTATTATGGAGTTACATTTTGTCTGGACTAACGAGTCTATGCATAGTCCAATCAAAATCGCACACCGAAATCAAAATCCAGTTCGTAAACTGTCATGCAGATTTTGATCAATTGCAGGATTGGCAAAGCATGTGCATCGCCAATTCGTTGTCAGCAGATATTTTCCATATCCTTTCATGTTTTTAATCAAGGTGCTCACATGATTTGATGTATTTGGCGATGTAAGACCCGTTTTATCACAATATAGATCTTGATTATTGATCAGATTGTCCTTACTGGGCACAGGGTTTCGTGGTTTTTATTTACTGATTGTGGTACATTGTATTCCAATAGATACCTCCCCACCCCAATGGAATTTAAAGGGAGACCTCTGGAGTTTAACAGGCAGTCCTTGCAAACTGTAAAGCCACTTTCTTTGTCTGTAAATTGAATATTTTTTAGTAATATCAATCTAGACCTAGACAGAAGATTGTCCCCAGAGAGTGGAACCTCTCTTTAACACTGCACCATAATGGAAGTTTTACATTCTTCATAATTGTTGCATTGTTCTCAGAAAAAAATCATCATTACTCGGACACAATTCGAGTCATGCTTAGAATTTTGTGCCAATCAGCTGTAGTGCTCAACTTGCTCAATGCCTGTATGGAGAATGTACGTCTCATGGAGATTACCTTTCATGGTCACGTTCAAGATTATTGCACTTATATAGCGACGTGCATGCACATGTGTCTGTGTGTGTGTGGCTGCTTGTACTAGTCCGGACTGATGCCGATTTATAGTGCTAGCCCACTGCCATTTAAGATGAATACCCCACTCAGACACAGTATACTGACTCCGAGCCGACCAGTCCTTATTTTAGCCCCTTAATGTCGAGCGTCAGACAGGGTAACAACAAGTACCATTTTTTAACGTCTTTTGGTATGGCGCGGCCGGGGATCGAACCACGAACCAAAGCTCTCCGGGCGGACACTCTACCACTAGACCACGGAGCGGTCAGTCACCCTCAAACCTTAGCTCTCTGGGCGGATGCTCTACCACTAGACCATGGAGGCGGTCCTACCTCTCATGATGAATTATAGTATGCATCTTAATGACCACATCTGTTACCATGGTTACTGTAATTCACCAAATATTGAGAAACAAAGTTCAGGCAGTCATTCATAACATCCACACGACTATGTCACAAATACAGCATCACCAGTATACTCAATCACGTAAGCACATTGTAGCTTGCACCATAGAAAACTTCGCTTCGCATAAATTCTCAAAAACAAAATTTAAAAAATACAAATAAACAAAACATAATGAGTGCTATGTACAACTGTGTAATACATATATACATCTTTTACATATGTGTGTCATGCTATCTCAACATATGGAATTCTATCACTTTGGCAAAAATGAAAACATCTGGCAAATCATATATACATATGCTAGATTGAAATTATGGACTGGACGATCATGAAATCACCTGCAGCAGGGGTTAAAATAATAATATCTTTGGACAACAATACAATATGTCTTACAACAAAACAAAGAGTATTCAGGATACATTGGTGTAGCTTTGTGGTATTGAGATGATATATACTTAACAAAAAAAATTAGGGATCATGAAATAATTCTTTTCTTAATCATCAATTTCATTCAAAAACTTTTAACATTATAACAAATATATTCATAATCCATGAGCTTTTTTGTTCGGTATATTTGCCAAGGAAAAGAAGCAGCTAAACTCAATGGCAGTTAACTTCTCACAGAAAGAGATTCAAAGCTTACCGTAGACCTAGGGCCATCTACCCGCGGCAAAGGTGTTAACTGATTTTATAAGAAAGTCCAGTTTCGACCCCTTGCCGAACTAGGCTGGTATTATAGATTACCGGTACATTTGGGCTGGACTAACGAGTCTATGCATAGTCCAATCAAAATCGTGCAACAGAATCAAATCCAGTTCGTAAACTGTCGTGCAGATTTCGATCGAATGCAGGATTTGCAAAGCATGTGCACCACCAACTCGTTGTCAAGAGATATTTTCCAAATCTTTTCATGTTTTTAATGAAGGTGCTCGCGTGATTTGATGCTTTTCGTGACGTAAGACCCGTTTTATCACAATATAGATCTTGATTATTGATTAGATCGTCTTGACTGGGCGCCGCCATTTTATTTAAAGCAAATGCAAGTGATATGACAGGTGGAATCTGATTGGTCCATAGGAGAGGCTTGGAAAGGACATAACTCATAATAGCCACTGGTGGCGCCACGATCGAGCCCAGGAATTCCAGCCGAGTTCGGCAAGGGTGGAAACCGGACTTTCATAGTCAGTTAACTCTCTTAGGTGAAGATGACCTAAGGCATGTTCAACAAAGCAACCGTAGGGTAACATGAATGTTGGAACTCACTGCACTCATTGTGACCCGGAAGGTAGATGTGGCCTCAAGGACTGTGTCTCAAAACCTGACCTGAACTTGAGTACCCAATTTCAACAGAAACATGCCAGATGATCGACATTTTGTTGTTTTATCTTGGCATCATCTAAGTTGACTTCGCTCAGACACTGAAGCCACTTCCCATCCATGTCTGCAACATGCTTGTCAGAGAAGTGAGGATGTGAGTTATCCCCCCTGGTTGTGAGTCCCTCTAAACCCTGCTTGTGCTTGGGTAGCTGTCAAAGCCCTAACACTGACACAGACTTAGATAGTCTGAGAAGGGATTTTGAATAAGTATGGTTGCACGCCGCTTTGGGCAATATTCAAGCAATATCACGGCAGGAGACACCAGAAATGGGCTTCAAACATTGCTCCCATGTTGCGACCTTGAAAAATATTATATAACATTTATTTATTATGGGTTTAGGTTTTGTATTAGGAGGAATGATATTCAATACTTGTGTTCACAATGAGTAAGGATATTTTACTGCTAAATATCATTATCTTTTTGGTTCCTAGTTTTAAAGAAGTGATGACACAATGTTACACAATTGAGGGGCAACTTATTGATTTTATTGAGTCAAATCTGAGATCCATGATAGCACTGGGCTACTGTGAGATCAATCTGTTTGTAGCAAAAATGTACATAAGCAGGATCCAGTTGATGTTTTTTGTGTGATGATTTTACTGATGAGGCATGAACACTTGAAACTGATAAACTGATTATCAGTCATTTTGCTGAAAGTGACGATGAATGTTTTTTGAAGTGAATCACAACCCCATACAACTATAAATAAACATTTCATTGCATGATGCTCATGTGGCAGTGTGGTGTGGGATGAATCAGTTAGTCGACTGTCGTGTTATATTGTCGGAACGTCTTCACCAGAACATATGACACCCTGCCCTGTCACAATAAAGTCATACATACATTACCTTTGGTGTCTTTGACATAAAAAGCCATGAGTGAGTGATTTGGTATTACACCTTTTATATTATAATATTATAATATTCCAACATCACAACAGAAGTAGGCTTCACACATTGTACCCAAGTGAGACCGAAACCAGGCCTTCGGTGTGATGAGCGAACACTTTAACCACTAGGCCACACCACCATCCTTAAGTAAGCCTTGAAACCTGACTGACCACCCATCTCATAGTGAGTGAGTAAGTGAGTGAGTATGGTTTTACGCCGCTTTTAGCAATATTCCTTCAATATCTCGACGGGGGACACCAGAAATAGGCTTCACACATTGTACCAATGTCGCCCCTCCCATAGACCAGCAATGGACAATCAAACTAAGAGTGACTGAGTGAGTTGGGTTTGATGCTTCCATCACCTATACCAGACATTGGTCCTTCTTAACCACGTAGTGTGTCGTTTACACTACATAACAATTACAAAAGTAGCCAAATTCTACGACTATTACAGCTAAATGTATAATTCAAGACTAGAATTTGCAAAATGCAAACATTGTTGACAAATATGGAACATATCCAAAAAAAATCTCTTCCTGAGTTGTTTATGGTTTAAACATCTAGGAATGCTATTTTCTTTGTTTCATAGTGGTTACCATGGTTACAGGTTGGTCTTTCAGATGTAAACAGCCACATTTGGCTGCTTTTTTCTTAAACAAGGATAGATGTACTGCTTATTTAAAAGAAACAAGTCTGAAAAAAGAAGAAGAATATTAACAAGGTTTCTACTAGTTTTGGTTTTATCAGGAATAAAAAAACAAGATGCCAAACATAATTGGTGTTCATTTTTGGTATTTATACATTTTTTTTAGTTTTTATGAACATATCAACATGATCAAATTACAGCAGGACTCATTAACCAGCATTGTAAAATAATAACTGATTCTAGCCCAATAAAACACCTTAAATATTGGTAAACTTGGTACCTATTTCTAGGATGCCATTTTGTAAGCACACACTGAAGATAGGTTTTAATTGAACAAAATAATCATTCTGGAATGTGGTACATAACAGGTAAACCTTGCATGTTTTCAATTTCATTAAAAAAAACATACTTTGAAACAACTGAACTGAACACATGTTCCAGTAAAACACATTTGATATATACTGGTTCTACATCTATAGCTGTGGATGTGTGTGTGACTCAGATGTGGAGTTTCTAAGGGAAATAACCCTGCAAGCCTAAATGCTGGATTCGAGCACCAGAGGGAGCCTCCATCACTGAAGAGTGGGACATCAGTGTGTTAGAGCTGGCTGATGACGGGCGTCAATCATGTCTGGAAAGAAGGATACAATCAATCATTCTCTCTACGTGAATACTAAATGTCAATCAAGTAAGGTGAGTTGTTATATATTTAATGTGATTAATGACGATTAAGTGATGATGATGATTCAACACTAAATAAAAGCGACAAAACACTTTCCATAATCACATGAATATTTTTCGCTGTAAGCCGAGTCCATTACACGATTAAAACTATATCATAAGCATATGGTTAATTGTTATGTTATGTGTATTGTACATGCACATGTTTGCTGAAAAAGAGTCCGCCCCCGTGGTCTAGTGGTAGAGCGTCTCCCCGGAGAGCAGAAGGTGGAGGGTTTGATCCCTGCCTGGAGAGCTAAGGTTCGAGGGTGACTGACCGCTCCGTGGTCTAGTGGTAGAGCGTCCGCCCAGAGAGCTAAGGCTCGAGGGTGAATGACCGCTCATGGTCCTGTGGTAGAGCGTCCGCCCAGAGAGCTAAGGCTCGAGGGTGACTGACCGCTCATGGTCCTGTGGTAGAGCATCCGCCCAGAGAGCTAAGGCTCGAGGGTGACTGACCGCTCATGGTCCTGTGGTAGAGCGTCCGCCCAGAGAGCTAAGGCTCGAGGGTGACTGACCGCTAATGGTCCTGTGGTAGAGCGTCCGCCCAGAGAGCTAAGGCTCGAGGGTGACTGACCGCTCATGGTCCTGTGGTAGAGCGTCCGCCCAGAGAGCTAAGGCTCGAGGGTGACTGACCGCTCATGGTCCTGTGGTAGAGCGTCCGCCCAGAGAGCTAAGGCTTGAAGTTCGATCCCCGGCCGTGTCATACCAAAAGACGTTAAAAGATGGTACTTGTTGTTTCCCTGCCTGGCCCTCGGCATTAAGGGGCTAAAACAAGGACTGGTCGGCTCGGAGTCAGTAAAATGTGTCTGAGTGAGGCATTCATGTTAAACTGCGGCATGGCATCTCAGTGGGCTAGCACTATAAAATTTGGCAGTCTGTACTAGTACAAGCAGCCACACACAGACAGTCACACACATCGCTATATAAGTGCAATAATCTTGAACGCGACGTTTAAGACCCACCTCACCTCACTATACTGCTAAAAAAAGGGTAAGTGCTTCCTGCCCTACTGGTGGCACCCGAAACAAACAAGCCTGTACCTACCTGCGATGATTCTATGCCATGGTAGGGTGATGTATGTAAGGTAAGCGTTGAGGGCCACACTACTAGCTCGCTTCTGTTCCTTGAACCAGTGCCATGCCTGACCAAAGGACTTGCCCCAGAAACCATTGTACTGATCCAAGTTGGTGTTTAACTCTGCAAAGAAACACTGGTGTGGTGACTGGTACACTAACATAAAGAGGGATACATGGTACAAGTGAGTCAGGACGTGAGTGATGCACACACTGTAAACACCCAATCTCCTCTTACAGCAGCTCTCGGATGCTGGGATCTTTATTCTCTTCGAGCATCCCAGCAGTGTGTACGGGTCACCAGTCTCATGCTACAGATGACACGAAGATCATGCAACATAAGACATGCTTTAATCTGGACATCATTGCCTCCCACCTCAGACAAGCAAGAAAGTAAAGCTATGTTGGCTACCACTACCCAGTAAGAGAAGCCATGTTGGCTACCACTACCCAGTAAGAGAAGCAATGTTGGCTACCACTACCCAGTAAGTGAGGCAATGTTGGTTACCACTACCCAGTAAGACAAGCAATGTTGGCCTACCTACTACCCAGTAAGTGAAGCAATGTTGGCTACCACTACCCAGTAAGAGAAGCAATGTTGGTTACCATCTACCAGTGAGAGAAGCCATGTTGGCTACCACTACCCAGTAAGTGAAGCAATGTTGGCTACCACTACCCAGTAAGAGAAGCCATGTTGGCCTACCCACTACCCAGTAAGTGAGGCAATGTTGGCTACCACTACCCAGTAAGAGAAGCCATGTTGGCTACCACTACCCAGTAAGAGAAGCCATGTTGGCCTACCCACTACCCAGTAAGTGAGGCAATGTTGGCTACCACTACCCAGTAAGAGAAGCCATGTTGGCTACCACTACCCAGTAAGAGAAGCAATGTTGGCTACCACTACCCAGTAAGTGAGGCAATGTTGGTTACCACTACCCAGTAAGAGAAGCAATGTTGGTTACCATCTACCAGTGAGAGAAGCCATGTTGGCTACCACTACCCAGTAAGTGAAGCAATGTTGGCTACCACTACCCAGTAAGAGAAGCCATGTTGGCCTACCCACTACCCAGTAAGTGAAGCAATGTTGGCTACCACTACCCAGTAAGAGAAGCAATGTTGGCTACCACTACCCAGTAAGAGAAGCAATGTTGGCTACCACTACCCAGTAAGAGAAGCAATGTTGGCCTACCCACTACCCAGTAAGAGAAGCAATGTTGGCCTACCCTCTTGTAGTGTGCCTGCCTCCACTTCATGGCATCCATCGTCAGCGATGGTTTCTACATTTTCTGTTTCTGATTGCGACTTCTTCATCCCAACTGCTCGTCGAAACCCGCCGCGCATCAGCGAACTGAACCCTGAGCTGGGATCACTCATTCTCCTCTGTGCATACTGGTTTTGCTGGGGGAACACAATTCATTCCACATTAAATGTAGATCAGATTCTGCCCTACATGTTCTTGCATGTTTGACAGAAAAAGATTTGATTTCTGTTTCAGCTTTTAATGTGTTTAATTCAGTGCATTTATTATATGTTAAGAAGGCTGCTGGTTGTGATCTAGTTTGATGAATTTAGGATTTGTTGAGTATACAGAGCCTCTCCTCTATTTGATGAAATACCTGAGTGAGTGAGTATGGTTTTATGCCGCTTTTAGCAATATTCCAGCAGTATCACGACGGGGGACACCAGAAATGGGCTTCACACATTGTACCCGAATCGGGAATCGAACCCGGGTCTAAGGTGTGACGAGTGATCGCTTAAACCACTAGGCTACCCGACCGCCCTAGACGAAATAAACTGAGAGAGGTTATGTTAATCATGTGAAACCAGGTGTTTTGTCTATTAACACAAAATGACAAAGTGAGCTCACCTGATCATCAAAATCATCTACAGGAAAGTTTTCCATGTCTGGTGTTTCTGGTCCTGAACCCTTGACCCGACTCACGGCCATCTCGGCGTGACCTTTGCCCTGTGGACCCCTCATGCGCATGTACTCCACACGCTTGTGACCTTTGAACCATCCTAATGACATTCGCTGGACCATCTTTGACGTCAAACTTATCTGAAATGACAGCCATGAATATCATCAAACCAACTCTCAGGTTCTTGATGATCGGCACAAGAAGACTGAAAGATGAGTGAGTGAGTGAGTAACGTTTTACACCGCATTTATTACTGCAAATCGTGAAATTAATGCGTCTCCAAAAGAATGCGACTGCTGGTCCCAGCCAAAAATGCGACTCAATATGAACGCGATACCCCCCTTCATTTCAAACATCAGTGGATTTGTGTCTAAAGAAAATGTTCTCTGTCAGGTTTTAAGGAGAATCCCTTTTAATCCAACCTTACATTAATCCAATCACACACCAAAAAGCACCGCTTATTAGCGCTGAGTAGAGTACTACCGCTACAACAATACATGCGCGTTGGATCATGTCGCAAAGAACACTGTGTTGCGTGGGTGGCGTCTGTCTGGACTTGCAGTTGTGATTAGTGATGACATACGTGAGTAGAACTCTTGTCTTGACCCAGCAGTGACAATTCACAGGATGTAATTAGCATTTGAATGACATTGTTTACATACTTGTTACAAGTGGAAACAATAAACAGTGATGTGGAATACATAGTTCTATGTCTAAGTTGGTGTTTCTGCTATCCAAAATGTCTTACTGTTGATATAAATGCGATGCTTAATAATGCGAGAAAAGACCACTCGCATTTTTTCGCATTTAATTCACGCTTACGTTAATTTCAAGATTTACAGTATTTATTGCTTTCCTGCAATATCATGACGGGTGACACCAGAAATGGGATTCACACACTGTATCCACATGAGGTATCGAACCCGGGCCTTCGGCAAAGAATGAAAAATGAATAAGTAAGGTTTTCGTATGGACATAAACTGAATGGGCAATATCCGTCCACCTACCCGTGCATCGTACACTCTCTTGAGTGACTCGTATTTGACAGAGCCCTGGAATATAAGTCCCTGGAAGGACCCGTCCTTGTCTGTTGCCAGCAACTCCACAGCTATGTTCTCACTGTCCCGAATAATGATGTCTTGAAAGGCCTGGAAGAAAACGTTGAAAATGTTCAGTCATACTCAGCAGCTCACCTGGTCCTAACAAATCTGTATAAACTTTCACAAATGAATCAGTGAGTGAATGAGTTGGGTTCAATGTTGCTTTGAACAGTATTCCAGTTATATCACGGCGTGTCAGCTTATTGTGGGAGGAAATCCCGATTTGATGCAGGTCTCAGACGTTTACCACTTTATCGATACCATCAAACATGGGTATGGTGCTGACAAACCTCGAAACATAATTGACCCAAACCGGGATTCAAACCCATGATCATAGGTTCCTGGTGTTGCCAAGGGACACAACTCTGCACAGCGAATGGCAGTGGCTTAGACGACTTGGCCACCATTGCCCCCAAAAGAATCAGAAAACAGATGATCACACCAGATGACCTGGTGTTGCCAAGGGACACAACTCTGCAAAGCGAATTGCAGTGGCTTAGAGGACTTGGCCACCATTGTCCCAAAGGAATAAGAGAACAGATGATCACACCAAAGAGGCACCAATACATGTAAAAAACCAAAAACACCTGCGCAATGGGATTAATACATAACTGTGATGCCGTGAATCACTGACATACCAATGTATTGCAAATTGACACCTCACAATATGATACAAACACCCATCTATTGACTTATGTTCTAATTCTGATTCAATTTTCAAAAATTACACCAAATCCGATTTAATATCTTAATTGGTCTGATTTGAAGATCCAACGGGAGTCGAACATCAGAGTAGTGTAACAATGGTCAGTCCAGGTAAGCTTACATGCTAAGAATGAATAAAATTCACAGGCTTTTTTGATTGTTTGTTTGCCGTTTGACGCAGCACTCAGCAGAATTCCAGCTATATGACGGCGGTCTGTAAATAATCGAGTATGGACCAGACAAGTTATTAATATCACGAGCACCGGTCCACGCATTTGGGATACAATGACATGCATCAACCAAATCAGCGAGCCTGACCACCCGATCCCGTGAGTCTCCTCTCACAACAAGCAAAGTGCTTTTATCCACCTCTTACGACAAGCATGGGTTGCTGAAGACCAATTCTAACCTGGATCTTTAAGAGGTTATAGAACTCTGTGACAAAATATGAGAAAATCATGTTCTGTTTTCATGATTGCCTAATGGCTGCAAAGACAGATATCATGCCATCTACAGCAGGCCTGTTATCCAGTAAATCAGTCTCCAATCTATGATGACAAATACTCTGGACCCATTCTACTTCCATTGCGGAAGTGATGTCACCAGCTCCATCTTCTATATCACTAAACTGGCAAAGAACTTCTCCTTCACATGACCTTGAAATCATCAACCAATCAGAACGCCTCTTCTGAACACAAATTCAGCGTAGATCTACATTCAAATTCGTGCCTCGAGCCAAGAGCCACGAGTCAGCCCATGATATATTAAATCAACTCAATTGTTTTTTTGTAGCAGGAAAAGATGTTATCATAAGTACCAAAACAGGGGCGGGAACTTGTGATGTAACAAGATGTTGGGTTGTATTTAAGATGGCAGAGATTTGAGTGGAGGAGTGAGTGAGTTGGGTTTAACGCCGCTTTTAACATTATTCCCATTATATCACGGCGTGTCAGCTTAATGTGGGAGGAAAGCCTGAAGTGATGCAGGTCTCAGACGTTTACCACTTTGGTGAAACCCACGAGCAGGGGTATGGTGCTGACAAACCTAGAAACATAATTGGGGCGAACAGGGATTCGAACCAACAATCATAGGTTTCTGGCGCGCCTAAGGGACGCAACTCTGCACAGAGAATCGCGGCGCCTTAGACGACTGGGCCCCCTTGAGTGGAGGAATAATAACAGGCTATTTATATTGCTCATATTTCCACAGCGCTCAGGGGCATGCTCAAAGCACTATTATTACCCCGGTCACTGGATCAGTGTACACTCGGGAATCATTCTCAGCTCCCTGGGGAGTATACAACACAAGCTGCCTGCTAGGCGCTAGAAGGTTTACAACCACACTGCCATCTCATCCTACCGGGTACCCATTCACTGCTGGTTGAACAGAGGCACATTTCAACAAAGTCACTTGCCCAAGAAGACACCACATGTTACATGTGCTTCAGTGTGGGGCGGGACCGAAGCCCTAGAAACTCTCAGGAGCCAAGCTGCTGAAGTGTGGTCACCCATCAAAGGACTCTCCACAACCGATGTTGCTTAACTTCACCTGATTTGTGACCTGTGCACACCAGGAAGCAGCACTGGTGATATATTGTGTCAGTCATGGAAGGTCAGTGTAAAGGGCAAAGGGTATGCAACATAAAAATTGGGATAAGACTCACCGGATAGACGAGGATGGTCAGTTAATGACATCATAGAAATAAAAAATAGGAAACAGTCCCTGTTCTTACCTCTTCAAAATTATCGACTGTAAAGAATATATTTGGATATGTGATTTCTTCTTCTGTTCCCTTACTATCCATTCTACGCCGACTCGGAGAAGGGTAGACGCGCTGCAACACACAATAATGCCATATTTTTATTTGGACACAATATCTTGACTGACAACAGAAGAAAGTCAAGAGGATATGAATCAATGAATATTGTCTTATGAACCTGGGTCATGGACGTCATTAGTTCAAAGCATGATCCGTGTTCCATGCTGTCAGGACTCAAAGGGAGACTACTCTCCACGATCAAGTGCTCAAGGTCTAGACATTGTAAGAACGGACTTGTGTCAAATTTAGACATTGAGAATTCTTGTACCTTGTACAACACAAAGTTTCAGTTCACAGGCATTTAAAGCGTCTTGGGAATTAACAGTTTGCTAGGGCTGCCAAATAACTCGAGAGCAGTCTTCCTTTAAATTTGCATTGTCGGTTTTACATCAGTAATGACTTAAAATAAATTTGCTAGGACTGCTTAACGACTTGAGTCTACTCTCCCTTTAAGTGGCAAGGATTGATGACAATCACCCAGGTGATATATAAACAATCTTATCCAAGTGTCAGTTGATATCAAATATATCAACAAAGGTCAACTCCTTGCCAAGCCCCAGAGTTTTAAACATTTATCAATTCGTATTGATGTATATGATATCAAAACATGAGGGTGAAATTCTATTTAATATTAACAATCATTCTTCAAATGTTCCACTTTTTTTAACAGTAATAACCAGTGTCTTGAGTGTAAAACAATCTCATTAAAATCAGATCTTAGTTCTCGCTACCGCTAAAGAAAGATCTGAGGACATCCCATTATGGGTAACGTCAGACCGACCTCGCACAAACTCTGACTGACCAATGTAATGACCAATCAGAAGGCAGCTTTCTCGTGCTTTGCGGCACTAATTTCAAATTGGCGACTACGCTTCGAAACATATTTTGACAAATTCTCGATTATAAATTTGAAAACTAAACAAAAGAACATTCTGGAATGGCTAATAGATGGTCTAGATTGTATGGATTCAGTCGTTAAACCTGTATATATTGTTTGGAACTTTATTCTGTGTGCTTCAAAAAAATTTGCCGATTGTTTATTGATCTTGTTGGTTATTTACTGATTTCACAATTTAGTTCTGTAGGTACCTATTTCTGGGTTAAGCTTCACGTTTCAACATAGCAAGCATCATAGTTAGGAAAATAGGTTCCTGGAACCATGACTAGGGCTCATGGCTGTGCTTAAGGACAAGGTAATTAAACAAGGTCACTAAAATATGGCCACTCAACAAGGTCATTAAGCAAGGTCATTGAACAAGGTCATAATTGCCACTCAACAAGGTTATTAAGCAAGGCCACTAAACATGGCCACTAAACAAGGACGTCAGCATGTACTTCTAACCTGTGTGAACTTCCTGAGTATCTGCAGGTTCTTCTCATCAGTCCTGGTACACACAGCACATGTGACCCTGTACACAAACTGCAGGGGCAAACAAAGGAGGAATGAGTGGAATAATAGTTTATATTTTACAACAACTTGTATATATATATATATATATATAACACTTATCCTATCTCCAGCAATATCTAGGCGGGAGACACCAAATATGGGCTTCACACATTGTACCCATGTGGGGAATCGAACCTGGGTCTTTGGCGTGATGAGTGAATGCTATAACCACTAGGCTACCCCACCGCACTTATGCAGGGATGACTCGGTGGGAGTTTTTCGTGTGAGATAGGATAAGTATTATAAATATACAAATTATTGTAACGTTTATGAATTTTTAAAACTTACCCTATCTCTCACTTTGCATTTATCCCATGGTTGGAAGGAGGGGCGCAGATACCCTAGCCTGAAACAGACCTCAACCGTACAGGAGGAAGCTGGTCCTAGAACTATGATCCAATCAAAGACTGTCACATTATTTAGGCTCGTTCTGACGAGGTATTGTGTTTGGGTTGCTTCTAAAGAAAACCTTTGTGCTACTAAGACAACCATCATGAGTTCAGGTAACTCATGCATTTTGTGTCTTCGCACAGGACACAGTTCTAAGGAACGGTTGCACAGCATGGTACAAGGACGAACCCGTTCGGCCATGACTTGTAACCTCCCCTGGATGCAAGAGAGAACAACCTGTCCTTGATTCCTCTCTGGTCCAGCAGTGACGTTCTTCAAACTGCACCCGCATATAGCTCTTGTTATTCACTGATATTCACCTGTTGTAAAATCATGCTGAGAAAGACATTCCATCTGATGTAACATTGACATAGGCATGTCACGACATTTACCTGATGTAAAATAATGTTGAGATAGACATTCCATCTGACGTAACATTGACATAGGCATGTCACGACATTTACCTGATGTAAAATAATGTTGAGATAGACAGTCTCTTCCCAGTCAACTGTTCTATCATCAAGAGACGGAAGCTTCTTTGAGTCACGACGGTAGACTTCTATTTCTGCCTGTAACAGAAGAAATCAACAAAAGACTCAGTGTGGTATACAATTAGTCAACCAGTGTGGTATACAATCAGTCAACCAGTGTGGTATACATCAGTGTGGTATACAATCAATCAATGCGGTTTACATCAGTCAACCAGTGTGGTATACAATCAGTCAATCAGTGTGGTATACAATCAATCAGTGTGGTATACATCCAATCAATGTGGAATACAATATGTCAAACAGTGTGGTATACAATCAATCAGTCAATCAGTGTGGTATACAATCAGTCAATGTAGTATAATACATCAGTCAGTCAGTGTTGTATATAATCAATCAGTGTGGTATACAATCAATCAGTGTGGTATACAATCAGTCAATGTAGTATAATACATCAGTCAATCAGTGTGGTATACTTTCAATCAGTGTGGTATACATCCAATCAATGTGGTATACAATCAGTCAACCAGGGTGGTATACATCAGTGTGGTATACTTTCAATCAGTGTGGAATACAATATGTCAAACAGTGTGGTATACAATCAATCAGTCTATCAGTGTGGTATACAATCAGTCAATGTAGTATAATACATCAGTCAGTCAGTGTGGTATATAATCAATCAGTGTGGTATACAATCAATCAGTCAATCAGTGTGGTATACAATCAGTCAATGTAGTATAATACATCAGTCAGTCAGTGTGGTATACAATCAATCAGTGTGGTATACAATCAATCAGTGTGGTATACAATCAGTCAATGTAGTATAATACATCAGTCAATCAGTGTGGTATATAATCAATCAGTGTGGTATACAATCAATCAGTCAATCAGTGTGGTATACAATCAGTCAATGTAGTATAATACATCAGTCAATCAGTGTGGTGTATAATCAATCAGTATGGTGTATAATCAATCAGTCAATCAGTGTGGTATACAATCAGTCAGTCAACGTGGTATGCCGTATATGCAATATTGGATGAGTAAAAAAAGAACCCTTTTTTAAAATGATCAATATTTTGCGACCAATATTTCTTTGATATGATACAGTAGAAATAGATCTGTGGTAGTAAATTTCGAACAAGCCAAATCATGATGATGACTAACTCCAAGGTAAATATATGTGAATCCATCAAAAGCATTAAAGGATTACGGAATGAATGTTGAATCACAAACATACGTACTTGTAAAGAAGCAGGTTTCCCTTTGGCACCAAGTTTATTTCTTCTCACATAAAACAGCATGTCATCTCGACTTTCATCCGGTGACGTGCTGCCATCTAAGAAGTACTGGGAGAACAGCTTGGTCCAAAAGTCACTGACATTGACCAGTTCGAAGCCAGAATCTGTCAACACAACACAGTACATTACAAGGATTACCTGTCCACAATAATGGGTTCACCTTCAGAATTCCGTACCACACATCCACCGCATAAATACATCACAGGTTTGACTTGCCAAATCACTCAGATATAACTGAACGGTTTTAGGGATTTATCTTAATCTGCTCAGGGCCCATATTCAGCCCCAAGTCTCCAGTAAATGTCAGTAAAAAGTAACTTGGAATTCAGATTTTCACTATCTATGTTTATAAAGTAACAACTAATATTGACTTTGTGGAGGGGACTTGTATTTCCAGAGTCAAAAGTAGCAGTGACTCATCCTGGTATTTGTGTATAGTTAACCATATTGCCATTTGAATCCTATTTTAAATATATTCCCCAGATGACAGTCGATGACAAATGTTTATATGAACATAACACATGTACACCATCAAAGCAAACATATATCAAATATCAACACACATCTCGATTTCTGAACTGTAATACGACTCCAATGTAGTCATCACGACAGTCATGTTAAACATATATCCATCCTCATATGATTTATAGAACTGGAACCATCAGGTCATGAGATCATGGTCATGATGCTGTTGTGCCCAACGTAGGGACAAACAGCGCCCTGTAGAAGGTTCCCTTACCATCGTCCCCGATCGTAGGATGAACTCTATTCCTCTCCTCGACTATAGAGTTGAGCATTCGCTGCAGAAGCGATTCTTTCTTCACTGGGGAGGATGGTTCACTTGGCGACGCTGCTTCTTCGTCTTCCGCCATATTTTGTCAACTACGATAATCAACTTCCGGCGAAGAGCGTTTTTGTAAACGATCTCAAAATAAATCTAACTTGCGCTTTCGCAAATAAACTGGTCTTCCTATTGCTACTTGATAACCGATCAAACATTCTTTTTCTTATCTCTTCGGCATCTTATATCTTGGAAGCTTTGCAAAGACAAAACACAAAAACGGCTTCACTTCGTTGAATGTTGTAATGTAAGGCTGAACCAAGTGGGCGTGTCCAAACTATTAATGACAAGGAAGGGAGGTTACTCTAACAACATAAGAGTTATCTCCCCGGTAATTTCCATTCGGTCGCTAGGGGGCTTCGAGCACGTTCTTTGCTTTCGTCCTTGGATTTCGTAAGTTAAACGGGTCCGAATCATGGAAGAATACGCTCGTGATCCGTGTCCATGGCGTATAGTTGACGACTGTGGTGGCGCTTTTTCGATGGGAGCTATCGGTGGCTCGTTATTCCATGGAATCAAAGGATACAGAAACGCTCCTAGTGGAAACTACAGGCGACTTATTGGCAGCCTCGTGTCCATGAAAGAGAAAGCGCCCATTACAGGGGGCAACTTCGCAGTGTGGGGTGGACTTTTCTCAGCAATTGACTGTTCAATGGTGTATATCAGAAAGAAAGAAGATCCCTGGAATTCTATAACAAGTGGTGCCCTAACAGGGGCCATTCTTTCTGTGAGAAATGGAGCAGGAGCGATGGTGGGTTCGGCCATTATTGGTGGTGTTCTGTTGGCACTCATCGAGGGAATGGGCATTATGTTTACACGATTCTCAGCCGAACAGTTCAACCCAGCAAACAGAACAGTCATGGAAGAATCACAGCCCCCTCAAGCCCAGAGTAATATATTTGGATCCTCAACACCAAATTATCAATAATGAATATATTTATTAGACCATGAACACATTCATAGCATTTTAGAGACTACTTATATTCTTATAACTGGTCTTGCAGAGTCTAATGGGGGACTTTTATGAAAACATTTTTGATGTGTTTCAAGCCGGAAACAGATCAATTGGATAAAACTTGTGCTGTCGTGTTGGAACGGACGTTAAGACTGTCACTAATGATGGGAACTGTGAAGAGTTACATTAAAACTGTAATGTTGAAGTGATGGGTTTGATATATGCCTACACTCCAATGTTTTCCACCTTATCTGAAGTGTGTTAAACATATCAACATTGACATGTAAAATGTGCAAGTGTCTGTGTATTTGTTTCAAATTTTAATCAAGAAACTGATTTTTCTGATGACTCAAGTCATTTCTTAAATTGACTTGTTTATGTATGTGACATACATGTTGTAAAGTGATACATAGAAAGCAGAAAGAGACACTGAAAATTAAAATATTTAATTGACATTGTTTTATTCTTGTTATACCATGTGCATCTGGTACTGATACCCAAGGAGATTTCACTTACAAAGCTGATACGGGTTGTAGCTTAAACAGGGGCGGTCGGGTAGCCTGGTGGTGAACGCTTTCGTTCGTCACGACAAAGACCTGGGTTCGATTCCCGACATGGGTACAATGTGTGAAGCCCACTTCTGGTGTACCCCGTCGTGATATTGCTTAAAGTGGCGTAAAACCATACTCACTCGCTGTAGCTAAAACATCACCTCAGCAAAACAGCAGCGATTCTCAAAAATGGAACCGCGCTCAAATCTAAAATAACTACAATTGCAGGGCAAAAACCACACCTTATTTCTTTTACTTTGTTTTTTTTAATAAAATCCAAGCAAATAAATAAAATTAAACTCTCATGCAAACAAGTAATTATGAAATGTTAATTATCTTAAACCCTTATGGTGCCTGGTGGTCGGCTGGCTTTATATCCCGCTCATTGCAGCTCTGTGATGATGTCTTGGTTTCAAAGACCTACACCATGTATACATTGTATAAAAACTAAAAGGTGCCGTTTTCGCCAGATGAAATCGGTGATGTTTGACTGAGGTGAAAGTTTATCCCGCACCCACAGATACACCTACACTGAGAAAACTAAGCGTACAAGTAACTTCTGTAATGCTGTGTCTGTACAAAAAACGTTTTGAGTCTACTAGCCCAAACATGGCCATAATTTTAATTACCGTATTCGAAGTAATGAGCGCCTACTGCGATATTTGCTAATATATTAGCTAGTGAACAATCCCAATTAGCACCCCTTCTGATTGATCAATGTACACAAGACTTATTTATTCGTGTATGATACATGTGTTATATGCATCCTTATTTTATGGGAAATTAAATTCTAGAAAAATATATCTGTCGTATATAAAATTTCAGGCTGTCGGCATATACCATGAACTTTACGATCTTTCAACTCTATTGTTTTTCACCAAAATAATCTAATAAGAGACCCCTATTTCTAATTTCGAGAGTGCCCTGGGCGCTTATTATGTCGAATACGGTACATTTTAGTGTTATGGTATTTTTTAACTGATCTCACCAGTTTGAACATAATTTTACTAGTCTCTGACTTCTGACTAGTGGCTAAAAGGCCCAGGCTGCACAATATATATTACATCGTCCAAATTATGTTAATGTTAGGTACATTCTCGTGTACAAATATGCATAAACAACATTCAAATCCAAATAGATATATTATCAACTCTGCATAAACAGGGGTCATGGGTGGTCCAGTCTACAGTGCGAAAGTCACTGTGCAGAGTTGCGTTCCTTGGACACACCAGAAACCCATGATTGTGGGTTCAAATCCTGGTTTGCTCGATCATATATATCTAGGTTTGTCAGCACCTTACCCATGCTTGTGGGTTTTACCGAAGTGGTAAATGTCTTGAGATCTGCATCACTTCAGGCTTTCCCCCCACATGAAGCTGACCCTGTGCTTCATGTGGCTGGAGTACTTTTCAAAGCAGCATTTAAACCCAACTCACTGCATAAATACGAGGGACCTGACCTGAGTTTTCACCATGTTCACACAAAATTTTATTTATAACATTAAAGGCTTTTGTGTGTTTCTCCCTCTACTCTGTCTTTGTGGCAGAGGAGAAATGTCAATGGCTTGACATTCAGAAGACAGATCCAGAAGGTACACTGTCGGTTCATATAGAGGACAGTTGGTATACATGTGTATTCTCTTCATTTAAAGTCAAGTCTTGGGAGGGTAAAAAGACATTTTTTAAAAATAATCTTAACATTGTGAAGGAAATTATTGATTATTTCTTGGATGTAATAATCAGGGGTGAGAATCTCCCATGGATCTGCAGATTTTTGTGACCACAAATTTGTTAAAATCACATGGCTCCCCCCTTAATACCCCCAAATTATGGACCATGCTCCATTGCAAAGAAGTATCATCTGAAAAGGAAAATATCCATTCTCATCCCTGAATAATGATGTAGAGTCTTTTCGTAATTTCTTGCAAAGTACCAATTATCTCATCCTATTGATCATGTTGAAGTCTTATGATATTGTGTGGTTCAAGTGTGGCCGTTCTCTAAGGTCACCACTATTCACAGTACAGAGTTGCGTCCCTTGGACATGCAAAAAAAACCTATGATTGTTGGTTTGAATCTGGTTAGCCCCAATGATGTTTCTAGGTTTGTCTAAGTGGTAAACCCTTCGAGACCTGCATCACTTCCAGCTTCCTCCAAAACAAACAAACTTGAGGAATGTTGAGTGTTCATGGTGAGTGACTAAGAAGTATGGTGTTTTGCATGACAGTATGAAGGACTAATTTATCACGTTTTCAAGGGAAGGATGATTGAGGATGTCTTTACATTTTGTTGAGCAGTCATGAGTCTGTAACACCTAGGATGACATTATGACATGATATACGTGTTATCTCACCGAGTCATAAGAGGCAGTGTGAGCTCTGGCAGCTTTCACAAGGACTACGATCTTGTTTATAGTACATGAATGATGTGAGAATTAGGTGAATATTTGTGATAGTTATTTGGTATTTGAAGAGTAACTGATGCTATAGTCCGTCAACCATAATTTTGGTACCCGTTCTTTTACAATTATTTTTCATTAAGCACACAGTAGTGCAACGAAAGTTACCAAATAATATTTGACGAGACTAGAAATACCAATTTTGTAATATTTCATGTCCAAATAGACTGCCTCCGTGGTCTAGTGGTAGAGCGAACGCCCGGAGACTGGAAAGTCGGGTAGCATGTGTTTGAATCCAGTAAATGACATCATGAGCGTCGATATATGCAATTCGGATACTATGACATGCATCAGCCAAGTCAGCGAGCATGACCACCCGATCCCGTTAGTCGCCTCTTACAAGTATTGGGTTGCAAAAGACCAATTTTAACCCGCATCTTCTCGGGGTCCAGCAAACGCGAAGACGTTTCCCTGTTTAGCAGACCATACCGGCCTCTTACACGGGCCCAAGGACATATATTGAGTTTAAAGGGGTATTTTGAACATTGACCGTTTTCCTTGTACACGAAAGTCATGGACCCGTGCAGATCCGGGGTAGAATAGGTATTCAGCTACCCAGGCTTGCTGTAAAAGGCGACTATGCTTGTAAGAGGCGACTAACGGGATCGGGTGGTCAGGCTCGCAGACTTGTTTGATGCATGTCATCGATCCCAATTGCATGAATTGATGCTCATGATGTTAATCACTGAATTGTCTGGTTCAGACTCGATTATTTACAGACCACCGTCATATAGCTGGCAAATTGCTAAATGCAGATTAAAAAACAAACATACAGACAAACAAACTAACGGACCAAATTTGGGATATGTGTCAGTAAGTGAGAAAGGATTCAGGTCAAATGTTAATTTCTCAACTCGCTGTTAAAATGAACTTGTCCGAATTGTACAAATCAGCTTGGTTCCTTGTACTTGATGACCACTGGAGTCACGTTATCTCCTTGAACATAAAATACTCTAAACAGAGGAATACTGAACATCTCAATGATCTACAAAACACATTCTGAAAACAACACTTTGTTTGTTCACTTCTCTCTCAAAGGAAAGGATTAAATGTCATAATCTCCGAAATTGATGTAGTGGGCTATAACTGAATGCATTGATAATGGACCATTGTCAAGTACTAATGATGAACTTGCTGCTGTCTCTCACCTGGAAATACACCTGTGAAGATCCTGGGATAGAATAGGTCTTCAGCAACCAGTGCTTGCCCTAAAAGGCGACTATACTTATTGTAAGAGGCGACTAACAGGATCGGGTGGTGGTCAGGCTCGCTGACTTGGTTGAGGCATGTCATTACGTGCCAATTGCGTGGAACGGTGCTCATGACATCAATCACTGGATTGTCTGGTCCATACTCGTTTATTTACATCGTTAGACAACAAACGAAAGTAATGTAGCCGCTCTGGGGATTTTATGACGCTTCAAAGATCGTTTAGAGTGATAGAAGCGCAGTTACAATATTACCGGACGTCTATCTATCTCGCAAACAGGATTTGAAATGCAATTCTGCTCTTTCCAACACCACATTTAACAAAAAACTGCCCTATGTTTTCTTATTACTATAGTTAATCTGCCATCCATCACATATTAACTATTGTGATGTAAAAGAATCGGGTGTTCTTTAACTCCTTTTGAGTAGTATATATTTATCCAGTGCCATGTTAGGGGTGGTGGGGTAGCCTGGTGGTTAAAGCGTCTGCTCGTTACGCAGAAGACTGGGGCTTAATTCCACACATTGGGTACATTGGGTACAATGTGTGAAGCGCATTTCTGAAGTCCCCCGTCGTGGTATTTCTGGAATATTGCTAAAAGTGGCGTAAAACCATACTCACTCACTATGTTGTTTTTTCACACAGGCGTACGCGAATGACGCTCGAGGACCGCCTCCCTTGTCTAGTGGACTCACAATGCCTGCAGCAGAATGCACCAGAGACAAATAGGATTAGTCATTAACTGTTCAAGTAACTTTCAGAAGGAAAAATGTTTTCTGTAAAAAAACCAGTTAGGGCAACTGCCCCACCCCACCCCCAGCCCCCGGCTGGCTACGGCACTGCCCCGACTGAGCGTCTACCCGGAGAGCGGAAGGTCGGCAGTTCCACGCCCTGGCCGCGTCAGAACCAAAAGACGTTAAAATATTGTACTTGTTGTTACCCTGCCTTGCACTCGGCAATAAGGGTTTACCACATGGACTGGCATGAAGTCTCAGTGGGCGTGCACTATTACACCGACAAAAGTCCGGACGAACAAACACGCACGCTCGCGCGTCGCTGTAACTGCAATAATCTTGAACGCGACGTTAACCAGATTTTACCTCACCTCACCGAAATGACCATATACGTTAGTCGCCTTTTACGAGAAGCATCGTCGCCTTTAACGCTTGTCACTCATTTTATTCTGTGCGCGCTTTTCTGCATGTATGTCATTATGCTTGCGAATAGTAGTATTT